AACATAAAAAAAAAGTCAGATGCTCAACCAACTGAGCCACCCAGGTGCCCCCCCACCCCCCTTGCCTTTTAAGTAGAGCTTACATTCAAGGCTGGAAGGCAGTATGTGGAAACAAACAAGATTTCAGGTGGTGCTAAGTGCTCTGGAGGAAATTACTTTGATGTGTAATCTGACTTCAATCCCTGTCCATGAACAACCTTTCTTTTTTAAATGTTTTTTTAATTTTTTTAAGATTTAAAAAACATTAGGGGCGCCTGGGTGGCGCAGTCGGTTAAGCGTCTGACTTCAGCCAGGTCACGATCTCACTGTCCGTGAGTTCGAGCCCCGCGTCAGGCTCTGGGCTGATAGCTCAGAGCCTGGAGCCTGTTTCCGATGCTGTGTCTCCCTCTCTCTCTCTGCCCCTCCCCCGTTCATGCTCTGTCTCTCTCTGTCCCAAAAATAAATAAACGTTGAAAAAAAAAATTTAAAAAGATTTAAAAAACATTAAAAAAAATTTTTTTTAATGTTTATTTACTTTTGAGATAGAGCGTGACCAGGGGAGGGTCAGAGAGAGAGGGAGACACAGAATCCAAAGCAGGCTCCCGGCTCTGAGCTGTCAGAGCCTGATGCAGGGCTCGAACTCAAGGACAGTGAGATCATGACCTGAGTCGAAGTCAGAGGCTTAACCGACTGAGCCACCCGGGTGCCCCATAAAAATCTTTCTTATTTAAAAGAGGGAGAATGAGGGAGGGAGGGTCAGAGAGAGGGAGAGTGGGAGAGAGAATCTCAAGCAGGCTCTGTGCTGTTAGTGCAGAGCCCAATGTGGGGCTCAAACTCACAAACTGAGATCAGGACCTGAGCTGAAATCAACTGTCCGATGCTTAACCAACTGAACCACCCAGGTGCCCCCTGAACAACCTTCTTTAATATTCACTGTGGCTTTGCTTTTCTTTTCTCTTTTCTTTTCTTTTCTTTTCTTCTTTTTTCTTTTCTTTTCTTTTCCTTTTCTTTTCTTTTTTTGTTTTTAATATTTTTTTTTGTTTATTTTTAGAGAGAGAGAGAAAGCACAAGTGGGGGAGGGGCAGAAAGAGAGAGACACAAAATCTGAAGCAGCTCCAGGCTCTGAGCTGTCAGAGCCTGATGCAGGGCTCGAACCCACAAGCTGTGAGATCATGACAGACGCTCAGCAGACTGAACCACCCAGGCACCCTGTCCCTCTCCTTTTTCTCTTTCTCTTTCTCTTTCTCTTTCTCTTTCTCTTCCTCTCCCTCTCCCTCTCCCTCTCCCTCTCCCTCCCTCCCTCTCTCCCTCCCTCTCTCCCTAAAACTGAGTTATGGGATTTAAAAACATCCACAAACCTAGACAGTTGGTAAAGTGGGGACAGTTGCTTAGTGTCACAGTCACCATGATTTTGCTGATGCTGTTTTATGCCCCTTTCATTTTTCTTTCTCATTGTAGTATTTTAGAGCCCGTTCCAGACACTGTATGATTTCATGAAATCTTGTTGGCCTCTCAGCTATTCCGATCCCAGAGGCCCGCGGGGCCCCCGTTCTCCTTGAGTCTTTACAGTGCTGATGATCCTGCTCATGTCACTCTCTCACCATGTTTCAGACGGACCTAGTCCTTCTCCTGCTACTCTGATTGTTCCCATGTTCCTTTGCTGGTTTTCTTCCTTCTTCCAACTGTGACCACTTCTCAAGGCTTTGTCTGGTAAATATGTTACCAAGAATTTACTGTCCTTTCTGCATTTCATTAAGGGGGAAAAAAAGCTTGCAAACATTCAGAGAACTTTTGTTCACTGAGGCTTTGTGCTTTGGAAATGCCATTTGGTGGTTTTGCTGCTTTTAATCTTTGGCATTAATTTCAGTTGCTGTCGTTTGTTCCATTAAAAAGAATCCAGACCTAAGCCAGAAAAATAATTAAATTGGTCTGCAAAGGGAAAACAAACAGTACAGTATTTCAACAAGTCACAAATACATGTTTATTATTCACCTAAAAAAATGTTAATTTAAGACTCTTCACACAATGTCTTTTATTAAAGATGTAACACAAATCAAACCTGTAATGAGATACCTAATTTGTTTTCCTTTTTCCATTCTAGAATGTATGACAACATGTCCACGATGGTGTATATAAAGGAAGACAAGTTGGAGAAGCTTACACAGGATGAGATTATTTCTAAGACAAAGCAAGTGATTCAGGGGCTGGAAGCTCTGAAGAACGAGCATAATTCCATTTTACAAAGTTTACTGGAAACACTGAAGTGTTTGAAGAAAGATGATGAAAGTAATCTGGTGGAGGAGAAATCAAACATGATCCGGAAGTCACTGGAAATGCTGGAGCTTGGCCTGAGTGAGGCACAGGTATACGTGAGGTCGCCTCAGACAGGAACATGCACTTGACAGTCTGGAGAAATGGAGACTTCATCTGAAATACGTAGTTTAATTAAACTAGAGGGAAGATACTTACAGAATAACAGAGATCAGCTTGTATGTAATATAAGTGATGATTGATTTGGGTACGTCTAAGTTTTAACAAGCAGAGGCAGTAAAATAGAGGTAACCCTGTTTGTCATTTAGGATTTGATTTTGGCTGCATATGTCATAAATGAAAACAGTGGCTTAAACATCACAGACATGTATAAGAGAAATACCAAGGTAGACCGCCCCAGACAGGTTGTGTAGCTGCACAGTCCTCAGGGATGCCCAGGCCTCTGCATTGTGCTGCACGCAGCTTTTTTTGTGGAGTCAGAGCTGCAACCTTTTATGGAGTCCAGCTGCAGCCACATGACCACATTCTAGGATAGGGAAGGGACAGGAAGGGTGTGTCTCCTCCCTTTACTTCCTCCAGCTGGTGCACAGCATTGCTTACATTTCTTTGGCCACACCTTGTTTCATGGCCACACATAGTTGTGAGGGAGACTGGGGAATGCTGCCCTGCCCACTTACATTTCCACCTTCTTAAGCCTAAGAAAGAAGGGAGAATGGATATTGTCAACAGCTAATAGTCTCTGCAGTACCCTAAGACAAGATTGCTAAACCTTTGTGGGTTTGTTTGGTTTTTAAGTGCTTGAATTTATTTATTTTTGAGAGAGAGAGGGCAGCGGAGGGGCAGAGAGAGGACAGAGGACGCCAAGGGAGCTCTGTGCTGATAGAGAGTTCCACGTGGGCCTCAAACTCACAAACTGTGGCACCTAGGTGCCCCTAAACCTTTGAACCTTTTTTTTTTTTTTTATAAATGTTTCTTTATTTTTGAGACAGAGACAGAGCATGAATAGGGGAGGGTCAGAGAGAGAGGGAGACACAGAATCGGAAGCAGGCTCCAGGCTCTGAGCTGTCAGCACAGAGCCCGACGCGGGGCTCGAACTCACAGACCGTGAGATCATGACCTGAGCTGAAGTCGGAAGCTCAGCCGACTGAGCCACCCACGTGCCCCTAAACCTTTGTTTTTTGACTAAACCTTTGTTTTTATCATGTTGGACATACAGGTGAAAAATTAGAAACAGCTAGGTGGTAACTGTTCCCCTGATAACTGTTGGCTCTGCTAGCACATTTCAGGTACATTTACATACGCTGAAATTTGGCCTCTCTTTTTCTTGGCTTTCCTCTTGTGCGGTGAATGAAGAAAGAAGTGGGGCCTGCTAGGTTCCTAAGTCCCACATCCATGAAGAGGACACTGTTCTATTCCACAGTGACTATCCATAGCCTCATTCTAGAGTTTTTCATTCCCACTGTGTGAAAGACTAATTGTGGAACTTTGACTGTGTTTGCTTATTGTGAATCTGTTATAAGGCAAATTCTGTTGAAAAGTGATATGAATATGGACTTCCTTTTTAGTTTGGCAAGTACTAGGGTTAAGAACAAAGGAGAAAAAAGCCTTACTTTCTGGAGTTCAGGTTTGAAACTAGGAGGATGGTAGAGGGAAAGGCAGTTGCATGGTCTAAAGACAGAACGCACTGGGGCCAACTTTTCCCAGCTCACTCTGCGCGTATACTTAGGAGTTTGCTAATGCCTCAGGCAGGTCTGTCCCTGAAACTAATCAGTGTACCACAGGCAGAGCCCTGGGGCCGTCACCAGATTTTACAGCCTGGACTTAAGCTTATGAATGCAAAGTACATTCTGACAGCCTGGCGAGCTACAAAGATTTCTTCCCTTACCTTGGAACATCAGAGATTTGTCTGCCCGCCCTTCTCTAGCTCCGTCACCAGCCCCTCCCTGAGTGACCCCCATACACATATGCCTGCTTGGGCACACACTCTCAGATGTGGAAAAGGGTCTCTGAGAAATTATGTTGGAGCCACTTAGATGGAAAGTAGAAAAGTAACAGTTTTGTCAGAAGAGTTAGCTGTGTGTCCATTGCTAGTCTATTTGAGATGCTGTCAAGCGGCAGAGCAGCGTGGGGTTCCCGTAGATGTTTTGAGCACGCGCCCCTGTGTACGTGGGACCAAGGGTGGGAAGGGAAGTGAGCAGCAGTGGTGCTTGTCTGTGTCGCAGCACATCCCCGCCCGCGTGAGGAGAGTAGGCACAGAGTGTGCGTGGGCGGGAGGGGGACGTGTGGGCTGGACCCTGCAGTGCTGTCAGCGCTTCTGTCTGTCCAGGTTATGATGGCTCTGTCCAATCACCTGAATGCTGTCGAGTCGGAGAAACAGAAGCTGCGGGCACAGGTTCGTCGCCTGTGCCAGGAGAATCAGTGGCTGCGGGATGAATTGGCCAACACGCAGCAGAAATTACAGAAGAGTGAGCAGTCTGTGGCTCAGCTGGAGGAAGAAAAGAAGCATCTGGAATTCATGAATCAGTTAAAAAAATACGATGATGACATCTCTCCATCCGTAAGTGGTTCGGAAGGAATGCAGTATTGACAGTTAACCCTGCTGTAGTCAGTCGGTTCTTTTAGTAAAGCCGTCGGTGTTTTCCGCCCCCGCTTTAGTGGTTGCGTGTAGCAAGACCAGAGATTCTAACTTTTGGGACTTAGTCCCTGGGCAAGTCATGGAGGTTCTCCTTGCCATGTGCTTTTCATATATGTGTTTGCAAGTTCTTTTTTTTTTTTTTAAGTTTATTTTTGAAAGAGAGAGAGAGCACATGCGCGTGAGCGAGGGAGGGACAGAGACAGAGAGAGAAAGAGAGAATGAATGAATGAGTGAATCTATCCCAAGCAGGATCCAGACTGTCAGCGCAGAGCCTGACGTGGGGCTTGATCTCAGGACCTATGAGATCATGACCTGAGCCGAAATCAAGAGTTGGACACTCAACCGGCTGAGCCCCCTGGGTGCCCCTCATGTGTGTTTTAGAACAGTGGTCAGAAACGTAAGAATACTTTGTAAATGTGAGGCACGGTGCACAGAGGCACTTGACAAGGTTTGTCCCGGCTGGAGATCTCTTGGACATTTTAACCCATGGGGTCTGGCTTCCACACCCAGCGCACTGCTGGAGCGCTCTCAGGTCAGCATGGGTCCCACGCAGTCATTTGTCATCTAGCCTTGTAATCTGTAACTAAGTCTGTGGCCTGTGGTGCTGTGGGTCTTGACTTTCTCTTTGAGACTCTCTTCCCCCTGCTCCCAGGACACCACCTGGGTCTCCTGCTCCCTCACTCCTGCTTCCTTCTTGCCTACTTCTGCTGGGAATGTTAGGGTTCACCAGGGATTTTGCTTTTCTCCTTTTTTGTTGATTCTCTTTGGTGGTTCATCTCAGTCTTGATTATTTTCCACCCACCATTTTTATCTGTTCAGTTAACAACTTTAAAAGAAATTTTGGACTAATTTCATTATTATTTTTTATTATTAATTATTTTTTAAATGTTTATTTTGAGACAGCGTGCACGTGCACAAGCAGGGAGGGAAAGAGAGATAGAAAAACAAAGCAGATGCCAGGCTCCAAGCTGTCAGTGCAGAGCCCAACGTGGGGCTCGAACCCACAAACTGTAAGATCACGACCTGAGCTGAAATCAGATGCCTAACCGACTGAGCCACCCAGCCACCCTGTAGTAATTTTAGATTCACAGAAAAGTTGAAAAGATAGTGAAGAGAATTCCCATGTATCCTTTACTCAGTTTCCCCTAATGTCACATCTCCCGTCACCACGGCGCATGTCTTCATCCACTCTGGCCACTCTGATGGAATACCATAGGCCGCGTGACTTATTTCTCCTGATTCCGAGATCAGGGTGTCAGCGGTCGGGTGCTTGGCGAGGGCCTTTTTCCTGGCTGTGTCCTCACATGGCCTCCCTTCGTGCGTGGGTAGAGGAAGAGAGCGAGAGGGCAGTCTAGCATCTTTTCCTTTTTCCTCTTTGTGTGAGGAAGGACACCAGTCCTGTCATGACGGCCCCATCCTCATGACTTCATCTAACCCACGTTGCCTCTGAAAGGCCCCTTCTCCACGCGCCATCATGTTGAAGGTTAGGGCTTTAGTAGAGGATTTGGGAGGGGGCGGGGGCACATCAGTCCACAGCACCCCGTTTGATTGCTCCCTTGTGGAGTAACTGAACGTTTTGCTGGAAGAGAAGCACTGCTATACACTGCTGTTGGAATGAGAATAAATGGAGATGCTGAAGCCAGCCAGCGATTCACCTAGAATACTGGATAGTTTTGGAAGCTTTCATAGAGACTTTGAAAACTTTTTATTTTGAAAAATATCTGGCTTGGAGAAGTGAGCTAACAGTGAGCTAACTCTGCCTCTCAGCATCTACACAAACGACTGTTTCTTGTGAACTGTGTTCGAATACGCGGCATACCTCATGCCACATTCCCCTGCTGCTGGGCCTATCCCCCTGGCATGAGGACAGACTCCTGTGGAATCCAGGGCCAGGTCAAGTTGGGCAGTTTAACACGGGCACAGTCGTCACCTGCTCTTCACTTTGTCCTGATTGTCTTGGCAGAGCCCTTCGTAGCACTGTTTCACCATGGCAGCGTCTGGTTCACTTAGTCGTCATTCATCTGAAACTGGTCTTTTTTTTTTTTTTTTAATGTTTATTTATTTTAAGAGAGAGAGACAGAGTGGTGCGTGAGCGGGGAAGGGGCAGAGAGAGAGAATCCCAAGCAGGCTCCTTGCTGTCAGTGTGGAGCCTGACGTGGAGCTCAATCCCATGAATTCTGGGATCCTGACCTGAGCCAAAATCTAGAGTTGGACGCTCAACCGACTGAGTCGCCCAGACGCCCCTGTAACAGGTCCTTTTCAAAAGAAGCAAAAAACCCCACCTTTCTTCGCTTTTCATAACATAGATATCTTTGAAGAGTATAGGCCAGTTGCTTCATAGATTGTTCTGCAGTGTGAGTTTGTGTGATGTTTCTCTGTGAGTGTAATTAGACGATGCATCCCAGACAGGACTCTTATCTAGGTGACTTCTGTGTACTTCTTAGATTAACCCGTCCAGATGCGAGTGATGTGACCTGCCCCCGGGGTGATGCTGATTTCTCACTTGGTCAAGCTGTTGTCTGTTCTGTCCATTGCGTAGCCCTGGTTTTGACCCCTGCGCTAATCTGTGGGGACACTTGAGTCACAGACTCAAAGCTGGCAGGTTTCAAACTGCTCTTAGGGATCTTGTGGTGGAGGCAGTGAGCAGGGAGGAGAGATCTAGCCTCCAGGTCTGTGGCATTCAGAGATGGGCCGTTTTGGTCTGTTTTTACATACTTGGTTTCCAAGTAAAATGTATTTCAAGTAAGAGTTTCCCCTTCTCTGTTTGAATTTCTTCAGAATGTAGTGAAGAATCTAAGGCAGCCTTTTGCCCCCCTCGCCCCCAGCCCACCTTCCTTTAATGTTTGAGTTCTGGTCCTGCATGCTTTGTGTTACTCTTTGCTAAATTGATGGATAAGCCAAATTGTGGATAATCCTGTGTTTTATTTTGTTTATTTTTTGTTGAATCATATTTATTCTCAGAAATGTCTAGTGTTTAAAACATAACTTTATAAGGTTATACATGTGAAATCTCCATGATGACAGTACATTTTATAGAACAAATATAAAATGTTTTTGTGACTTAACACAGTCCTCTGTTGTTTTTAGTCTTCCGATTTATTATCCGCCATCTTTTCTAGGTTTTCCAAGTATGCACTTTATTTGATTTTAAAAACAGATGATCTTTTCTAAGATTTTTTGTTAAAATGAAATTCACACTAATGATTTCCAGTACAGGATTTATAGCACTCGTAAGACTAAAGTTGTCCTGGGTTGATTTTATAGGAGGACAAAGACACTGATTCCACCAAAGAACCTCTGGATGACCTTTTCCCAAATGATGACGACGAACCCGGCCAAGGAAGTAAGTTGGCGAAGGGGAGTGGTTAAGTGGCAGCCTAGAAACAGAAGGTGGTTTGTCCTGTTGTGATGTCATTGCCACAATCAGTGGGCATCTTCGCGCCGGTGGCCTGCCTCACGGGAGCAGCCCTCTGTGCACTTGGATGGCGTTATGTTTCCCAAAAGAACTTCAGAGAGTTTCTTGGTGGGACACACTAGTACGTTAGACCAGCCCCTGCAAGATAGGGTCGTGCATAGACGGTTCAGACGTGAAGTGTGGACTCTTACGGGGTTGGAAAGGCAGAATTAGTTTGGTGCCGAGGGCAGTCTGACTGCTCTGTTGGGGGCATCACACCACCCCTGACAAGTTACTGATGTTACGCAGCCTGCCTGGGGAGTGCTGCGTGGGTGTCCGTAGCGTGGGGCCCAAGTGCCACCCTGGACCAAAGCTAGAGAAGAAAGGTGTCATTCAGTGGTGTCGTCCGGATGATTTCCTCTCGGCACATCTCAAGTGAAACTCTGTCTGTGCAGTCCAGCAGCAGCACAGCAGTGCAGCGGCCGCGGCGCAGCAGGGCGGCTACGAGATCCCGGCGCGCCTGCGCACTCTGCACAACCTGGTCATCCAGTACGCCTCCCAGGGGCGCTACGAGGTGGCCGTGCCGCTCTGCAAGCAGGCCCTGGAGGACCTGGAGAAGACTTCGGGCCACGACCACCCAGACGTGGCTACCATGCTGAACATCCTGGCCTTGGTGTACAGGCTAGTAGTTCTCATTTTCTCCTCTGGTCTTTCCCGGAGGCCGTGTTTTTAATGAACTTGCCCGTAAGCTGCTTCGCCAGCTTTATCGTTCACTTCTCCTCAAACAGCCAGGGGGTTAGATTCAAAATACTCAGCGAGCTCTATAGCGAGGCTGTCACCCCGTGGAACAGATGCTGCCCAAAACGACCTAGGTCAGCCTTTCTAGAATAGCCCACATGCACCCTTCGCTCTGGCCAAAGTCAACTCTCGATTTTTTCCAGCAGGCTCTGTACCAGGTTTCTTTTCTCCAGAACAGCCTTCCCGCCTGTCTGCCAGCTCTCTCTCTTTCCTGGGTCTCGGATCCCACTCTCCCTTTGCCCCTGTTGTGTCGCCAGAGCCCTTAACCGCTACATTTCTTCTGGCGCCTGTGCACTGTGCTCGGCATCAGGGCTGCCTGCGCTTTGTTCTCTCTTCTCCCAGAGTCGTGTCCCTTAAAGGTGGGGCCCAGCCTGTGTCTGTGTCCCTGTCTCTCCTGTCACTCCAGCACGCTTCCTCCCTTAGGAGCCCCTGGCGAACACTTTGAAGGGAATTGAGGAATTAGCCTTTATGGCCCAGGGAATGACATGTTGGAGCCCTTTGTGCGTGTCTCTTAGCTCACCTAACCTGAACTAGATCAGAGACGGGTGAGTGGGCACCTGAGGAGGGGGAAGTTACTACTCACACAGTAGGAGTGGTTTGCTGTGGCCCTTCCAGTTTTGTGGGTTGCAAAGAAAGGGTTTGTGTTTCTTCATTGTCCCCATTCAACATGTTTGATACACACAAGTATAGGTAGGATTTTAGGCTGGTTCCTGTGAGGCCCTAAAGACGAATATGTAATTCCTGTCCTCAAGGAGAAGCCAGAATACTGAATTTATTTTTTTATTAAAAAAATTTTTTTTAACGTTTATTTCTTATTGAGAAACAGAGAGGGACAGAGCATGAGCGAGGGAGGGGCAGAGAGAAGGGGAGACACAGAATCCAAAGCAGGCTCCAGGCTCTGAGCTGTCAGCGCAGAGCCCCATGTGGGGCTCGAACTCACGGACCATGAGATCATGACCTGAGCCGAAGTCGGACGCTTAACTGACTGAGCCACCCAGGCGCCCCCAGAACACTGAATTTAAAGTCAGGACAACTCCGTTTGTATCTCTGCTAAATGGCCCCAAGACTGAAGATGTTGTCCGGAGCCTTTAACTTTTCTGAGTCTCGGTTTTCTTCCTGGTTTTCTTTCCTGGTGTGCTGGTTCAAGGAGTGCTGGCTGGGTTTCTCATGTGTTGGAGCTGAGGCTGCTTGTCCTTGGTTGGGGGCCACGCCTGAGAACCAGTGTGGTTGCTCTTCATGTGACTTCACTTTGGCCAATTGGTTTATAGTCCCTGACGTGTTATGGCACAGTTTAGAAGGGTGCTCAGTATACCTTGTCTCGTTTAGTTGTTGTTACTAATTATAAGTTTCTAGCAGGTTTTAAAACTGTCATACTTGCTGATTTTCACAAGAAGTTTGAGCCAGTTCATAATGTGTAGTATAATTGTAGGATAATTGGAGGAAAAAATCTCAATACGCTTGGCCAGAATTAGTGTGCTTCAGAGGTTCCATAGGCCTTCTGAACCCTTCCCATGTTTTGTAGGACAGACTGGATTCTGTAGGGCGAAGCCTTGCTGGGCAGCTCTTACTCAGTTAAGAAACATGTGTGCTAGCTTTTGTAATCACATTGTCAGTACATAAACCAAGGTGGGCAGAGGCTGGGTCTGGTCTGATGGTGTTTCTGTCTTACCACAGTCAAAAAAATATCCTCATTCCTCTTACTACAAGCAAATGGTGGCAAGTTGCATACCAGATTAAGACACTATAATGTACCATATTTATTTTTAACTAGCTTTTCCATTATACACATAGCATATCATTACCTTCCAAAGCAACTCTGTGAGTTAGGTCATACACTTCCTTTCTAGATGGGCTGATTGGGACTGTGGGAGGCTTCTTGTGTCCCAAAGCCTTGTAGCCGGTAACTGGCAGAGCCTGGGCTCAGATGCTGGCATCAGTTCTATCTGTTAGAAGGTGAAGCTGTGCCCACTTTCTGGGCTGGCTCACTTGTTCTGTGTGGGGCAGCTCGCCTTGTGGGGGTGGCATTGTCCTGGTGATCTAGAGGGGAGGGCAAGCTTCAGAAACTAATCAGGCCTGGATTCCAGTTCACATTTATTGGTGGAAGCTTTTTCTTGTACACTAGAGGTGTTTTTATTAGTTTTAATTGTTGATTTATTTTTTAAATAGTTGAAGCTTTTATTTCTGTAGTTTCAAAATTACATTTTAAAAAGATGGAGTAAGCTATATCCAAAACACTTACTGTATGTCTTTCAATTTAGAGACCAGAATAAATACAAAGATGCCGCAAATCTACTGAACGATGCCTTGGCCATCCGTGAAAAAACTTTGGGCAAAGATCATCCCGCGGTTTGTATATCTGGTTCTTTCATTCTTTTTACATTTTATTTTCCCTATTTTTTTTTTTTTACCCAACTCATTTTAATATTAAACTCAACAGGGAAGGTTTAAGAGCTGCCTTTTCACTAGATGGCACAGGTAGGTGTCTTGACTTATTTGATAGCAGTGACAAACTTCAGTCCTGGGGACTCTGATATTTAGCATGTGCTGGTGCACACTCGTTCATCATCACCATCTCAAATGGATCACGTACTTTTTTTTTTTTTGTCTTAAATCAAATTGCATGTACTTCTTTAATTTTTTTTTCTGAAGAATTTATGTTACCTTCTTCTTAAAATCTGGTCAGATTTGCAAACAGATCTGTGTTTGCGTTGGTTCGGTTGGCTTTGTGGCTTTCAGTGAAATTAAAAAAAAAAAAATCAAGATCATGTTGCTGATGTTGATTGTTGAATTTTTGTATTCTGCACTTTACTTCGTAGAATCTGTATATAGTGAATTGCTCTCTTGCTTTTAACCGAAGTCCTATTTCTTCCTTCGCTGAAGAGCACTTCACTGTGCACACTGGGCACCGACGGATATGTGAGATCTGAAGTCCTGTCCGTCAGTCCTGTACCCGCTCCTTGACGTTCCTTTTGTGTTGGTAGGTGGCGGCCACTCTGAATAACCTTGCAGTGCTGTACGGCAAGAGAGGGAAGTACAAAGAGGCCGAGCCGCTGTGTAAAAGAGCCCTGGAGATCAGAGAAAAGGTGCGGCCAGAGGAGTGGTGCTTATTGTCTTGAGATGTGGTGTTTTGTGTCTTCTAAGTATTTCAGATTTTAAGTTTTGAGAGATGACCCCTGTGGTATGCGGTGACTGACCATTTCCTGAAAATAACTCATTGGATAAGGTATGAGGTGGACAGCCTGCAAAACACAGCTGATTGGCCCATTCACACCATTCACACCGGTGTTTAAGAGGGGTGGGGGTGTCCGTGTATGCCTGCCCTGCCTGATGTGGCCTGGGAATGCCTGCAGAAGGAGGAACTTCTGAGCACTGGCCGTGGAAGGCCTAAGGGCACACCATTTCACAATGGGGCATGTACCTGTCGAGGAGAAACACATTGAAATTTAAAAATAAAGTCACCAAATACGCTTGTAAAGCTTAAAAGATGAAGTTATTTTGAGAACTAAAGTGTAACTCAGAACTGTAGATGACGTCAGTGTCATGGATGTGAATTACGCCAGGAGCTACAGTTTATGGTAATTAGGTATTGGAAAAAATGTAGCTTGTCAATTCCAGCAGTAGGGAGGCTGAGGTGTCCAGTCCATTCCATGAATGACCAAGGGTAGTATTTTAACTTGGTATTTTTTGTGATTATTTACCCGCGATACTGCAAGGTCACTTAACTTTCAGCCATATGGCAAGGGGAAGTAAAAAACGGCTCATCATCAAATTATGCAGGAGAACTTCTTTTTTGCTGCCGTCTACATGATATTTATGAAATAAAATGGTCAGATTTTGAGTAGACTAGGGTTAAAGTCAAGGAGAACCCATAAGTATCAAATTAAGGATTATGAACTCTATACAGTGATCTACCAGATTCATTCGTACATAGTGGCTTTCATTTACTCATTTAGCAATGCGTGTTGAGTTCTTGGAGGCCCCTGCTTGGTTAGAGCTGGTGATTTACAAATCAGAGAGAAAGCTCCTTCCCGGGGGGCACAGGATGTAGTTGGCTTCCAGGATAGAATTCCAGGAGTGTGCAGAGAGCATGGGCCCCCCAAAGTCCCAGGAGGGTGGTGCACCGGGGATGGCTTCTCATAAGTGGTCAGTGTTTGTACTGAGTCTTAAACAAGGTTCACAGGCAGGGAGAGCAAGGGAGTGCAGAGCGGGAGGGAGGGGCAGCATGCCTTCTTGGGGAGGCACAAAGTTGAGAGAATGAATCCCTTGTCCAAGGTACTGAAGAAATCGTTCAGTATTTCTTCATCTGTGTGTCCGTACCTCTGTGGATGCTGACATTTACACTGGTGAAGGAGATGTAACATTGGCACTCCTGGTTATAATGGGCAGTGGACTACATACATAAATGAGATAGTTTTGGTTAGTGATTCTTGCAAAGGAAGAAACCAGGATGGTTGTGAGTTACCAGGGCGAGGGCGGGCCGGGGCTCCCTTCAGTCAGATGTAGGGAAGTGTGCCCTATGAGGGTTCTGCAGAGACCTGAGGGTTGATTAGTCAGTGGGTGGTGTGGTTGGGGGGGACTGGGAGAAGGACGTCAGGCATCTGGGATGAGAGTTCGGAGAGCCCTGAAGGGGGAGTTCGCCACGTGAGGGGAAGTGGTTTGGGGTGACCGCAGAGGCTTAGTGCGAGTGGAAGAGTTGGAAATTCCCTTTGAAGGCTGTACACATCGGGATGAGTCTTGTGCAACAGCTGGAGTCAGAAAGGGCTCTTCCGCACCTTGGCAGTTATGCCAGCACAGCCTTTATAGAACAGTGTCCTCGTCTCTAGACCGTGCATGATCCACCACTGCCAGCTCCTGTGTGGGCTTATTCTAAGAACTGAAGTTTAAAGCATGTACGGTTCCTTCTCACCCCCAAGAATGAGAGTTCTGGTGAAGTTACTTTTATTATTACAGGGCACGGGGAGGCATGGCATTAAGCCTGGAGGTTAGGCACGGTCCCGTTTCTGTTTAGAAGGATCTTTCTCGTAGGTGGTGAATGGATTGGATGGGAGTGGAACAAATCTGTGTTTTCTAATACACTCTATTTTTTTTGTTCCAGGTTTTGGGAAAGGATCACCCCGATGTTGCGAAGCAGTTGAACAACTTGGCCTTACTGTGCCAGAATCAGGGCAAATACGAAGAAGTAGAATATTATTATCAAAGAGCCCTTGAGATCTACCAAACAAAACTGGGGCCCGACGACCCCAACGTGGCCAAAACGAAAAACAACCTGGTGTGTTGATCGAGGCGCACTCTGTACATAGAGCCAGAATTCCTTTTCTTTGAACTTTTGAAGTTTGTTGTGTCATTTAGCCTGTAGGTAAGAGTGTACATTTCATTTACATATGAAGATTGCTGAGTACTTTATTTTCTTTTAAGGCCTCCTGCTATCTGAAGCAAGGAAAATTCAAGCAAGCAGAAACACTGTACAAAGAGATTCTCACTCGTGCACACGAAAGGGAGTTCGGTTCTGTGGATGGTAAGAACTACGCTACTGCTGCTGAGCGTACACAGTTGCAGAATGCATTAAGAGCGATTTCCTGCTGGAACTTGGTAATACCCAAATCATCCTAATGTTTTCAAGGGACAGTGTAATTTGAATGTTAGAAATGATTTTGCAGATAGTGCTTAGAGGAGAGGACGTGGCACATTGTGCGTAGTCCTAGGCTCATTCACTCACCTACCAGCCAGTGAGCGTTGGAGAACACCCGCGTACTTGCTCTGGTGTCACCAGTAGCTCCAGTTACCCCCAGGGTGTCGTGCCTCTTGTAGTGAGGGGTGATGGGCCACCCACCCCACATCTTGCCTCATTGCTCTCTCCAGAGTCCAGCCTGGCTTCATGCACAGTTCAGAGCATTAACTCCAGAAAGTCTCTCTGGAGACATCAACGGTTCTGGGATTGTCCTGTCATCCTGGTTCTTAAAGTGCCAGCAGGGATCAGTAGCATCAGCACCACGTGTGACCTGTCAGACAGAAGTGCAGGTTGTCAACCCCATCCCAGGCCCACTGGATTATTAGACTGCCTTAAAGAGCCAAGGCCTGTCTCCATATTCCTTAAAGTATCATAGGTACTTAATACACAGTTTTGGAACAAATATTTTGTAGGATTTAAATTGCTCAATAAAACAGTATTTGTTTGTTTAAAAAGGCCCCCCCCCCCCCATCAGGTGTTACATAAAGCATTTGGAATGAGGACATTTGTTACTGGTGTGCAGGAAACCTCATAATGCATAGGGAGGTTTTGGTTAATAAGTGTTTTCTTTATCCTTTATTTTTTATGTTTTTTTTATTTATTTAGAGAGAGAACGAGTCGGGGAGGGGCGGGGGGGGGGAGGGAATCAGAGGATCTGAAGCAGGCTCTGTGCCGACAGCAGAGCGCCCAATGCAGGGCTTGAACTCATGAACCATGAGATTGTGACCTGAGCCAAAGTTGGATGCTGAACTAACTGAGCCACCCAGGCACCCCAATAAATACTTTCTTTTATAGAGAGTTCCTAGAAACCACTCTTGAAAGATCTTTGAAGTGTATTAATACAATTTTCCTCCCGTTAGTAAGTGGAGCGGTAAATCTCTTTTACTCTGAGAATCTGGGAATGCCCCAGGCTCACCATTCTGAGCGTGGATTCTGTTTGCAGTTGACACAGGACAGGACAGCAAGTGCCCCCCCAGAGTCGTACAGTTCACAGGGGCTTCCATATCCTCGCCTAACTGCAGAGGCTGTCTGGACTTTGTAGTGATTTCAGGTCCTTTCCTTAATGCTGCTTTTGCAAAATTCTGTTCTTGGGGAATATTTGTTTCCTTGTGACTTGGTAGCTTCATTTTGCTAAAAACCGTAGTATAAAGTCCACAGCTAATTGGGTTCCAGTTAAAAAAGCAGTGTTCCTGTATTTGGATTTGCCTTCCATGCACATGTTAAAGCGTAGGACAGAAGGCATTTCTTTTTGGGCAAGATATGTGTGTCCTGTGGCCATCGATGTGTGACATCCAGTCTCCCAGGGACCTGCTGCTCACGGTGCACATACTGACATGTGCGACCTGTTGTGTCGTCTGGGAGTTGTGCTCTATTAGCTGGTGTGTAGTTGGCTATTCCAGCAATAGAATAGTTCAGAATAGTTCAGTTAGATACGGCTAACCCTGCACCCACAGTGCAGCCTCACCTACTGTTCACTCTCTCAAGACCAGTATTTAAAATAGGCTTTAGTGTCCTGTGACATGCCAAGTAACAATCATAGTTCTGTCAGGCAGTCTCGGTGTGTGATCTCGTTTCATTTTCTGAACATTCCTGTGAACTGGATCAAACCTTAATCCATTTTAGGAGTGAGGACACTGTAGACTAAGTGACTTGGGCCAGGGTAGGTGGTTAGTGAGCGGGTGACCTGGTGTGAGCATAGGTTTCTTCCTCGGGAGCCTGAAGCCGGTCCTTGAAAGGTTCCTGCGTACAGACACGGAAGGTGAAGGTCACCCATGATTTCAAGTGTTTTCCTTCTTTCTGTGCTGATTGATTTACACGATTAAAACCATGCTTTACATATAATCACAAATACTGCTTATTTTTCTTCAGATTTGTACCCTAACCATTTTTCATGTCATAAAAATATTCTCATAAATGTCACTTTTCAGACTGCTTACCCTCCGTGGTGTGGTGTGGTGTGGACACGCTGGTTGTCTAGAAGCGCTGGATGGAGTGGCCTGGTATAGGTTCCGGAAGGTTAAGACCGTAAGGGAGTATCTCGCATCTTTTGCCAGGTTCTCTCCAAGCATCTTATTCCTTTTTCTTGGACTTTTGTTTAATGCTAGCTTTGTCAAATTCTGAATACTCCCCAGTGTTACGTGAAGATTCTAGCACTAAAGTTTCATTGTAGGAGCCTCAGCATTCGTCAGGTTCGGTAGACAGCCGCCAACCTCTGCAGTTACGTCTGATTCTCCAGTTTCTACGGTCACTGAAACCTGGCAGCCTCCCCTCAGTGGGCTCTCTCGTGCTTCGATTTCATAGTATGTTATGTTTTCTCCCCTAGATGAAAATAAACCCATTTGGATGCACGCTGAAGAAAGAGAAGAATGCAAAGTAAGAACACGATGTTTTGAGAGATTTTCTGAATTGAATACGTTGCTTTAAAAATAATTACTCATTTGTTATAATTTAGGGAAAGCAAAAGGATGGGACATCTTTTGGAGAATATGGCGGCTGGTACAAAGCCTGCAAAGTTGATAGGTATGTCTTTCTACCTAGAGAAATAGGACTACTTGGAAGGTGCTAGTGCTTTAAGGGCAGCTTGTAAATGACCGAACACGTAAAGTTCCGTAAGATGGTGTGCCGGCACAGTCCCCTGTTGTTTCAAATTCCCGTCCAAAAACCTGTAATTTTGTGTTTTAAATGTTCATTTATTTAGAGAGATGGGGAGAGAGTGCTAGAGCATGTGCCTTGGGACGGGGGCAGAGAGAGAAAGAGAGAGAAAGAATCCCAAGCAGGCTCCATGCTGTCAGCACAGAGCCTGATGTGTGGCTTGAACTCACGAACCATGACATCAGTGACCTGAGCCAAAATCAAGCATGGGATGCTTCATCTACACAGCCCTTCAGGCACTGTTTCTTTGTTTCTGTGCCTTAAGCGCCTATTATTGTTAATAAGAAAGAAGTCTCTTGAAGTACTTACATATGCTGAAAGGAACTGGGTTTATTTCTAGTTTCTTAGTAAGACTGTGGTTATGGGCAGAGACACACTCTTCTTCACACACATCGCACTCTTTCTGGCTCCCATGTGCTCATTCCGTCTCCCTCTATGTGGAGAGGAGGGAGACCGTGAGCAGCAACGTAGGGATGCCGTGTCCACTTTACTGCCCAGCGCAGAATACGCTCAGCCCCCAGGGGAGGCACGATGGCTGCCAGCCACACCCAGCACAGTTGTTTCTGTTGCCAGAGGGCCTGGGGACAGCCACAGCCTGGAAGGCACACGGGCGTGTCCCAGCGGCCACAGGGCTCAGTGCAGCGTGCCCTGGCCCCTCGGAGAGTCTACGGCCAGGGTCAGAGTCGCCTCACTCTGTCACACAGCACTGGTAGGCAGGGGGTCCTTGGGATAGAAGAACTGTTTTAGAATTTTGCTGCTTGAGAAAATACTGTAGAAACTTAAGTGTTTCTCACGAACGTGTCTTTTAGTCCTTTAGATGATGTGTTGTTGACAGTTCTGATACTTGTATTTAATTCTCTGTGTATCCTGGGCTTTCCTACAGTCCGACTGTTACAACTACTTTGAAAAACCTCGGGGCACTTTATAGACGACAAGGCAAATTTGAAGCTGCGGAAACATTGGAAGAAGCAGCCATGAGGTCCCGTAAACAGGTCAGTGACATGCCTCCTATTTTTTTTTTTTTTCAACGTTTATTTATTTTTGGGACAGAGAGAGACAGAGCATGAACAGGGGAGGGGCAGAGAGAGAGGGAGACACAGAATCGGAAACAGGCTCCAGGCTCCGAGCCATCAGCCCAGAGCCTGACGCGGGGCTCGAACTCACGGACCGCGAGATCGTGACCTGGCTGAAGTCGGACGCTTAACCGACTGCGCCACCCAGGCGCCCCATGCCTCCTATTTTTAACTCGCCTGTTAGAGGTGTTTTTTTGTTTTGTAATTAAAAAAACTTTTTTTTTTTTTTTAAATGTTTATTTTTTAAGAATGAGAGAGACAGAGCGTGAGTGTTTCTAATATTTATTTTTGAGAGAAAGAAACAGAGTGTGAGGTGGGGAGGGGCAGAGAGAGAGGGAAACAACAGAATCTGAAGCAGGCTCCAGGCTCTAAGCTGTCAGCACAGAGCCTGATGTGGGGCTTGAACCCAAGAACTGTGAGATCATGACCCGAGCCGAAGTCAGATGCTTGACCAACTGAGCCACCCTAGACGCCCCTCACCGCTTAGAACTTTAATTGAATGGGTTGAATGAGTCTTTTTTTTTTTTTTAAATTTTTTTTTATTTTTGAGAGGAAGAAATGGAGTGTGAGTGAGTGGGAGAAGGGCAGAGAGAAGGAGACACACAATCAGAAGCAGGCTTCAGGCTCTGAGCCGTCAGCACAGAGCCCGACGCGGGGCTCGAACTCATGAGCAGTGAGATCACGACCTGAGCTGAAGTCGGACACTCAACCGACTGAGCCACCCAGACGCCCCGAATGAGTCTTTTTTAATATGACTTATCAAAAGCTTGACTTAGAAAATATTTAATATTTTAGTTTGTACAAACAAAACTATATTATTTAAAAGGTCGTAACTATAGGGACGCCTGGGTGGCTCCGTGGGTTAAGTCCCTGAACTCGAACCAGGCGTTGGTCTCAGGATCTGGAGTTGAAGCCCCACGTTGGGCTCCGTGCTGGGTGTGAAGCCTACTTAAAAAAAAAAAACAGACCATAACCATGACACCGAAAGCACAAGCAGCAAACGAAAACCTCGATCGGTTAGATTCACCAGAGTTAGAAACGTGTGTGCACTCAAGGACACTGTTCAGATAGCGAAGATACCCACAGAATGGGTGGAAGTGTTTGCACATCACATCTGATGATGCTCTAGTGTCCAGAATGTATAGAGACAGGAGGATTTCCTAGTTAAAGAATGAGCAGAGGAGGAGGAGCTGAGCAGACATTTCTCCAGAGATGGTGCACAGATGCCCACGGGCGCGGGCGGGTGAAGTGCTCCCCATCGTCAGCCACCACCCTGCTTCACCCCCATGGGGACGGCTCGAGTGCGACACAGAATGGAACAGGTGTCGAGGGAAAGATGTAGAAGCTGGAGCCCCCATGCGCTTCTGGTGGGGACGCGAGGCGGCGCAGCCACCATGGACAGCAGCGTGGTGGCTTCGCAAGAAGGTGAACATGGGATCATTGGAGCGTTTTCCTTCATCTACTGAGGCGTTTAGTCATGTGAAATACAGTGTGAGGAGATGGAGGGAGGGGTGCCCTTCGTGCCCTTTAATGAGCAGCTTTCAGAGTAATGAGTAAGTGTGTTAACCCTGTGTGTGTATGTGTTTTTGTGTTACCTTGTGGGCACACATGAGCGTGTGTATGTGTCTGTGTAAATATATAGAAATGTATGTAAAGGTGGCACGTCTGGTTTTGTCTTATATCTCTTTAGGACTGGAGAGGCAGGTGTGAGTTTTTCCCTCCACCCCCCACCTCTTTTTTAAGTTTATTTTATTTTTGAGAGAGAGACAGGGAGAGAGAGTCTCAAGCAGGCTCCGCACCGTCAGCACGGAGCCCAATGTGGGGCTCAAACTCACAAACCATGAGATCATGACCTGAGTGGAAAGAAAGAGTTGGCCGCTTAACCACCCGAGCCACCCGGTCGCCCCAAGTTTTTCCCTCTTGAATGGTACATATGTAGGCAATTATGTGTTTGCTGGTTTATTGCGCTTTTTGTCTGGGGTTAAAGTGACCCGTGTATACCTTAGAATTCTTTTTCTGAACAAAATCTGTGCGGACTGAGGAGAGAAAACCCAGGCAGAGTTGGTACCAATGATGTGTCCCAGCCTGTGCCCCTGGAGGAGCCCCTTTCTTAAGTCTGGCCATACTTCCTGGGTCTTCTGACTCTGAAAGGCTGCTTGGGAGCTTGGCATGCACAGGGGAGAGCGCCTGGAGGCGTTGGGAGGCCTGGTGGGGGTCTGGCTGTGTGGGGCTGCATGGCATTCGGGCACAGTGCCCACGTTTGCCACCCCTGGGGATGGAAGGTGGCTTCCACCACCTTGATGCTCATCCCAGCTCTAGACTTCTCTGACCTGTCATCAGGATTAGTGCCAACAATCCAGGCTTTGTTTTAAAGTACCAGGATGATGTTTATCAACTGAGCAGAGTCTGGGGATCAGGAGTTGTAGAAGCTTAAAGAAGGGGATTGTCAGTGCTTTACTGAGAAAGGTCTCCTCCTGCCTGGTGAGGGGGCACGTCCGCTTTACCGTAAAGTCACATTAGTACATCATCTGTCTGAGATTTGTACCTTTTGAGGAAGACCCTGTGGGAGTCAGCACAGTATTTGCACGAGCTGTTGGGTTGAAATCCCATTTAGAGTACAGATCGTTAGAACTGAAACGCACCCGGAGAACAATCTGTGCTGTGTTGAGTGCAGCGAGGTGTTAGCTCAAGTGTGGGGGAGGCTGTCCCTGCCGCAGTGAAGTGACGTGAGTGCTGCTGCCCCCTCTCCCTGACACTGGGGCCGTCTGGGCGTTGTCCCGGCAATGTCTGATGACACTTTGCAGACGGAGAAGCTGAAAGGGTTCCGCACTCGTGTACCTGCCTCCTAGGTTCTGTCTTGAACGTGTCCTTGCTCTTTGGCACATCTGTCCCAACTGCCCATCCACAGGTTCTTTCTTGGGGAGGGCGTTTGAGGTTTGTATGTGTGAGTTCATTTCTTTGTAAATACTTCAAGTGTGCAGTTTGCTTGCTGGAGTCCAATGTTTGTTGTTTTTTATTTTTATTTTTTTATTTAAAAGTTTTTTTTTTTAATGTTTATTTATTTTTGAGAGGCAGAGAAACAGGGCACGAGCAGGCAAGGGGCAGAGAGAGAGAGAGAGAGAGAGAGACAGAGAGAGAGAGAGAGGGAGACAGAGAATCCGAAGCAGGCTCCAGGCTCTGAGCTGTCTGCACAGAGCCGGTGGTGGGACTTGAACTCACGAATTGCGAGATCATGACCTGAGCTGAAGTCAGATGCTTAACCAACTGAGCCACCCAGGCGCCCCTATTGTTTTTTAAAATTCGAGGTAAAACTAACCGAGTGGAATGCCTAAGTGTTAGGCGTACGTTCCTGAGAATCACTGCTCTGAGTTTTTCTTTCCAGTGTTTAAGAGCTGTTTTGTTTTTCTTTTCCTTAGTGAAACTTAACTATCTTAGAAATCCTTAACGAAACTTAAGTTCTAATGGATCAAACCCTTTCCCCCTTGCCTGGCTCACAGGGTCTTGACAATGTTCACAAACAGAGAGTAGCTGAAGTGCTGAATGACCCTGAGAACATGGAGAAGCGGAGAAGCCGGGAGAGCCTGAACGTGGACGTGGTCAAGTACGAGAGCGGCCCTGACGGAGGGGAGGAAGTGAGTATGAGCGTAGAGTGGAACGGGGTAAGTACAGTACACAGCCGCCGGCGTGCTCGGCCAGGCGCTCTGTCCCTGCGTCCCCCGGCCGCGGCCTGGGCCAGTGTCCTGCAGGGGTGCCTGCCAGCACTTTCCTCTTGTCTTATGTGCCACTTTCCTGTTCTCAAATTACGTACAAAATTAAGATTTCTGTGAGTTTTTACCTTCTGCTAATGATGAAGTCTGTTATTTGTTTGAAGTGGTAATTTTCTTCTCCATAGGAACCCATGAAAGCTGTTTGGCTTAACTTTGAGCACTTAAATGCTGATTGAGTGTCCTGGTTATTTAAAACATAATCCATAACCTGGGTTTATTTTAATATTAGGGTTAGCGTGGCAGATAACTAACTCGCTTTGTTAACTTAACCCATTTTCATCGCTAACTCCAGCGCTCCTAATTTCACTGACCAGGCTGCTGTCGATTTTGTTAGAAGTAATTCAGATTCCTTAAAGGGAGATGATGTTGTCAAGTAGAACTTGTCTCTAGGAAAGAACAGGTTGGGATGGCTGCTGTTCGTGTCCCACCTCAGTGCTGAATATCATGTTTCCCCTGGGGGTCCAGGGGCTCATCTCTCTCCACTGCCATCTGCCAGAGGTTCTCGGACGCAGAACTGCAGAACTCGTGCCTGTGTTTGGGACCTGTCCCTCCAGGCTCTGCCTCTGGGTTTCATGACTTTGCCTTTATGGATGTTCTTACCACTGCTGTTTACCCAGTGGTTGCCGAAGAGCGTGTGGCCTTCTGAACATTTTTTTTCTAGTGTATTTTGGTCACACGTGGGTAATATTTTTGTCTATTGAGCTGGTATCTGTGGGATTTTGCTTTTATCAGAGAGGACTGAAAGCAGGATTAGCTTTAACGCACCCAGGTGCACTCTCGATTTTTTTATCATTATTATTTTTTGAAGTGGTGGTCCAGTTTGATTAGCTGATATGGTGCAGATGTTTTGCCAAATAGTAGTTTCGGGTTTTTCTATACTCCATCTTTTCGAGTGTATTTATTTGGGATTTTTCTATAGCTGTAGCGGTTTGGTAAGGATTAGCATTCTAAGCAGACACTTTGTACGTAATGTTAGGGGTCAGAGTTTCAGAGAGAACATCTTTTGACCGTCTTTATCTGGCAGCTGCCTCGCTTTGGGTTTTCCTGTGCCAAGACAACCAATCAGCATCCGCTTTGACCATCCCCCTGTCGGGCTGTAGTCCAAACAAAACGACGATGGCGCAGGCCCTCCTCTTGCCCACATCTGGCCACACTGTGTACTGTACTCTCCCCATGGTTCCTGTCGTCCTGCATGCCTGTGTAGAGGGCCACGTCCCTTCTCCGGCCTTTGGAAGCCAGGGTGCAGATTTGATACTCTCGAATGAAGTTCTGGAGGAGCTGTTTCTTGAGACAGTATTTCTAGGTCAACCTTCCTGTGAAATCCTGTCATAAAGTTATTGACAACGTGGAGTTGTGTTACGTCTTCAAGACTGAGACTCAGGGATGAGGGAGAGGCACTTCCCATCCAGGGTGGAGGGCTGGTAGGCAGCTAGTCAGGCCTGCCGCGGGGTCCCAGAGGCCGTGGGCACAACAGTCACTCCTCTGGAGCACACGCTTGGCCCTCTTTCCATTTCACATTTCCCGTCTCACTTTGGACATGCTCTCACTTAGGACGCTCACACGCCAGGCTTTGGACCCCTTTTTACTTGACATTAGACACTAGGAGCTCTGCATCTTTGACAGGATCCATCACAGGGCTCATCGATTGGCTGTGGGGTCCATTGGCTGAGAGAATCTAGATTCCAGATCTTAAGTCCTTCCTAAAACTCGCTTTGAGCAGCAGAAGGATCCCTTTTTTCAGAGTCTCAGCTCAAACAGTGGCGACTTGAGAACTGCCCAGGTTAACCAGGCGGGGAGCCTCCCAGGTTGGCGTGAACACCGCTGGGCCCCCGAGGCCCCTGCTCACATTCAGTCCGCCCTCACCTTTGAGGGAAAGCCATAGCTCTCAGCTTCTGAGGTGGTGGTACTGAGCTGTCCTGATACATGGTCGAAGTTTCATTTTCAAAGCATCCTTGTTCTGCTTTAAGAAGAGACCTGATAAAAGGCAGTATGCACCCTTGCATTTTTTTTTGAGTCAGCCTGGTTGAGGGGTAGTTTTGTGCAACCAAAGGAGCCCGGTTTAAGTGTCAGCTTCCAGTGAGGAGCTGGTAGACTGCAGTCCCCACGTTAGTCTTTGTCCAGGTGTGAGAACAAATGTCTCTTGCCCTCTGTGTAGGAGTGCGGAGTTCCCCCAGATGACAACGGGTTTAAGGACCGTTGCCACCTGCAAGCGCTAACCGGTGTGCCACAAGAGTTTCTAGTGTTACGCAGTCCAGATAAACTAGAAACGAGTTGGGAGTTGAGGTGGGTGTCAGGGCTAGGCCTGTCCTCTGTAATTTCACGCCACAAATCGTGAGTTTCTGTTGGCGGCTTCAGGGTTTTCCTGGCTTATTTTATCATCCCAAGAACCTGTTTTACATTTATAATGAGAAAATGCCACCTAGATTTTATGTTGGCGTTCCACATTAGAGTTTTTAAGTCTTTGAAAAACGGTTTCAGTGCTCTTTAAAAAGTTTAAAAACCGCTACCTTAGGAAAAAGCATCGTGTCGCTCTGTCGGGCAAGTGCTAGTCTAGTGGGGAGGATGGCGGGCATAGGCCTGGCTGCCCGGTTCCGTGATCAGAGCCGCTGATGCCAGACTGAGTACGTGTCCTCATTCTCCACACTCAGAAGTAACGTCTAAAACAGAGGGCAGCTAGTCCGAGATCAGGCACACTAGGCATAGTTGCTCCCTGCAGATAGTGAGAGTCTGGGTCTCAGCACAGGACTGAATTCTGTGCTATTAAAATGCAAGAAAAGTAAGGTTACTGGATATATTGTAACAATTCATAGGAAGTTTTTGGGTCAAATTCTTAGGGAAGTGCAGTTCTGTTCTTTTAGGTATGTACCATAAAGATTGTGATTAAAGTGTGACTTCCTCAAACTTATTTTTGTACAAAGTGTATAGATCTGAAAAGCATTGTCAAGAGAAGCCCGAGTTCTCTTTTATGGTCCTGCTAAAAATGCAGATGCTGTGTGCACAGGAATGCTTCCTGATACATCGGATTCCCTTTACCCTCTGTCCACACGGCTTTGTGTTCACTGAGGGCTGGTTCCCTTCAGATACACGGGCGTCCCTGGGCTGCCTGGTTACTAAGCAGTCGTATCTGCAGCCATGCCACGAGGGCCCCAGGAGACCTCACATGAGGACCCAGGGCCCCCAAGTCAGTCTTCTGCGCTCTGTCTCGATTCGCGCTGCCAGTGCCCTGCAGGCTCCTTCAGGGGGAGCCCGCCCACCTCCCTGTGTTAGTGCTCGCGAGAGCTTCTCGATCCACTGAAGTCTTGCCCGAGATTATGAGGAATGGGACAGTACATGCTGTTAATTAGAAATAGGCTTTTTACTTCTAAAAGTTACGTTAGGAACACAACTAGAATGTAACAAAAAATAGCAAATCACCTGAAATCTGTACTTAATAACTACTGCCCTGTGTTTCTCAGCCAATACACTATACACTTCTGTTCAGAAACCCACTTTTTTGACGTAAATACGCTTTCATGGCGGTCAGTGGAAAGTAGTAGAGGCCCCCTGAATAGAAGCCCACCGGGGTTGGGGCGGGTTCCCACCGCACTTCCCACTGGTTCTGGATGGCGAGGGGAGGGTGGGCAGCCTGCCCCAGCGCCCCTTCCCCAGCGGGGGGCTGCTTCCGGAACCTGGGGCCTGTGGGCCTGTGGGGGAGGGGGATGTTCACCGTGAAGTCCTTCTCCCGCGGTCCGCCGAGGGTCTGGTCCGGGAGCGCTGCCAGTAACACCGCTGGAGCGTAGTGATGAGTTGGGGGGTGGACAGCAGGTGTACGGTTTGTGGAGTTAACGTTTTAATGTCCTTTTTCTGAAAGACCAACAAGAACTTATGTTTTCTTGTCCTCCCAGCATTCGTGGGGAGTTGGTAACAAATTTTATTTTTCCATTTTAAAGATGAGAAAAATGAAGCTCGGGCTGGTTAAATGACTTGCTCAGCGTCCCATGGTGAGTCAGAGCGGGCAGGGGCTCAGGTCCCCGCTGTCTGGGGCTTCGGTACAAGACCGTTGGGTTTCCAGTCTGCTGAGACCCAGGATGCATTGCTGCCTGTGGAATCCATTTTCCATAACTAATTTTATTTTGGATTACCGACTGCATGTTTAAAATGTGCTGAAGATTCTTAAAGTCCGTGGTTTCTTAAAGTTTCTGAAATGTCTAAACTGTTAGTGCTTTCAAGGGAAAGTCCTCCCTGATTTCAGAGAGAACTTTATAGTCTAGGGATGCAGAAGGATTTCCGACGAAGTTAAAGATCATGAACGTGCCATTCCCGTGTGTAGCCTCTTTTTCCGGTGACTGTCAGGTCATTTCATTGTGGGATCTCCTTTATGGACAGTTGCCGGAAAACCTCGTTACAGTAAGTACCATGGAGATTTCTAGCACAGTGCCAAGCCATGCTCTGAAACTGGAATTTTATTTTGATGGCAGGAGTAACTAGTCTTAATAAGGTATGTGACCGATAAGGTGTGGCCCGGTGCCTCTTTGTGCCCGGCTGATAGGAGCAGGCAGAAGGTAATCCCAGATATTGAAGTGATTCAGAGCACCGCTGAGATCCGTGACCTAGAAATACTGTGAGCCGCGCTGCGCTCGTGGGGGTGGCTCTCTGCTCACAGCGGTTTCACTGGGCTCTCTCTCCGTTTCTGTCTGACAGGCCTAGCTGCCCTCTGTGACGCTCACACTGTCTCCTGCATGACGGGCGGCTCCTCCGGCTTTACTTCCCTCTCCAGTGCTGACTGCTGTGTGTAGCAATCCCCTAGGATTCTTGTCAGAGCTCCACCTCTCTGTGACTGGCCATCCCTTTCGGTGCTGCTGTCCTCTCGGGGGGTTCCTTATCTCTGTATACATGTAGCTTTGCCAGATATGTACTTAGTAATATAAACTGTGTTAATAAAAACCATTTACCGTGTGATACATGAGTTTAAAACTTAAGAGCGATTAGCTGTTCACTTTGATAAAAGGTAGTTAGAAGTACCCGCAGGTGTTGATGCAGTGGCATGACAGTGACCGTGGACGCTAGCTAGGCTGTAAGAGTAGGGCATGTGCCGCCCCCGTCGCACTCCGAGACCTGGCGAGGCCCCCCGGGCCCCGGGCTCTCCCCTTAGGATCTCGCTCAAGTAGCATTTGCTGTGTCGTCTCTGTGAAATTTTGGCGGTTTGGCTCTTCTCCACTAACCCTTCAGTGGTCAGTGATTCGTGTACTTGTGTCTTTCTAACTTCTAATAAACTCACTCCAACTGACCTGTGTCTTCGTGTCTGTCTGCTTAGTGGGACTTTTCACTTTTTCCATGGAATGCGGCATTGTGTGGCTTCTTGAGGGAATGGGGCTACTGTTAATCTTACTAAGTCATTCGTTCTGAGAATAAAAGTTGCTACAGACAATTTTTTTACTCTCTGTTCTTCATTTTCATATCCAGATAACTGCCAAATGTTTCACTTATTAATGTCTGAGTCCATTGTGATGAAAGCTGGGCAGTCTTTTACTTCCCACAAGGTGTTTGAGGGTTTTTAGTTTTTGTACGGAATGAACATTTTATTTCCTGTTCCAACCTCACTTATAATCCAACATTTAATAAAACTTTTTAAAAACTCACTGAAGGGGCGCCCGGCTGGCTTAGTCAGAAGACCATGCGACTCTCAATCTTGGGGTCTTGAGTTTGAGCCCCACCTTGGTGTGGAGGGTCGGGGAGGGGGGACTTATAAATAAATAAATACATGAGAATTTTTACAAAATTATAAAATTTACTAAACAAGCAGTATACCTAAGTATTGTATTTACATGGAATTGTTAAAAAGAAGTTGTCTCTGTCAGCTCAGCGTTTGGGGCCCAGTACTGTTACGTGGCCCGGATGCTTCTGTTTTTACTAAACGTGGAATTTGGTTTTGGTGATCTTCCAAGAAGCAGCCTTCATTTTCTTAAGACTTTTTCTGTGTGTGGTTACCTTTTGTTTTGAAACAGCAGTAAAACTTGGGGGGATGTTTTTTTGTGTGGATGTACTTCTTAATGTTCAAATGTTCTCATGGTCATTGGATTATCTTTAATGAGATTTAAAATGGATCGAGTTCTATTTCAAGTGTGTTTATATGCATGGCAAGTTGGTAATTTCTGTAGCAGTCGCATTGCCAGCATCACAGACAAGTAGGTCAGCCGTGACGTGAATTCTTGTTTTCATGCAGCTCTGCCTCTTGGGAGGTCGGCGGAGGACCGTCTGCGGTTTCACATTTGTTCACATTTCTTTCAGGACGGCACTGGATCTTTAAAGCGCAGTGGCTCCTTTAGCAAACTCCGGGCTTCCATTAGACGCAGCAGTGAGAAGCTGGTTAGGAAGCTGAAGGGAGGAAGTTCTCGAGAGAGTGAGCCAAGGAACCCCGGGTAACTATCTGCAGCCCCGCCGGGTGCCCAGCGGGCCCTCCTCCCCCAAGACAGCGGTGCCCAGCGGGCCCTCCTCCCCCAGGACGGCGGTGCCCGGCGGGCCCCTCCTCCCCCAGGACAGGCTGAGGGATGACCGAGGGCCTTCCGTGCAGAGGCCGAGAGGGCGGATGCCTTCAGAAGACATCTGTGCAAATCTTTGACTTCGTGGCATGTTCAGAGGAAGCCTTAGTGGTGGAAAGTGGGAACTTCGTATTAAAACACCCGAGCGTATTCACTTGTTTACTCTAGACAGGCGTTACTTATTTTTAAAATTAGCACTAGTTCATATCCTTTAAAATTAATTTTTAGTTAAAAAAAATAACATTAGTTTTTAAAATCCTTTTAAAATCAAATGATAACTGTGATTGTATTAAGCCCACACGGGTATTAATACAGGAAGAAAAATTGTTTTAAATAGAAGGGTGACAGTTTCAAGACTTTGTTATAAGGTGTTTCTTTAGGAGATTAAAAAACAGATTTCCCACGTGTTTAACAAAAGGTACACTCCTGCGTCCTAGAGTCTTTTGAACAATAACATGTAAGTTGTCAAAGGAATTTGGTTCTGAGGCATTCTGGTTTTGATCGGGTGTGTCAGCAGGAGATCGGCTGTTAACAGTGTGCATTTCTGGGTCACTGCTGGGGTCAGCATCCTGTTTGGGATGCATTTCTCACAGAGGCACTTTTTTCTGCTCTTTGAAGCTCTCAGTTCCTGAATGGGGCCTGCTTTTTAGAGATGGACCCTCAGTGAGACCCTGTCGTACACCTGATCCCACCGTCCGCTCTGCGGGTGACGAGTCGCCCACTGCTGGGGCACGGGGTCCCCTCCCGTACGTGCTGGAGACACCGAGGGGAGGGGCTCTTCCCGCTGCTTCCCTTGCTGGTCCCAGAGGTGTCCAGTCTCGTTCTTCTGACCTCTAGGCCCGGGGAGCAGAGCCCTGGGGCTGCCGGCCACCCTTGGCCCCACTCTGCCTGTGGCTGCACACATTGCTCGATGGCTCGCGAGGCAGGAGGCGCGATTTGGTTGTATAGGTGGCTGTCCCCCTGCTTCCCAAATGTTCGCGAGCCCGTTTCCGTGGAGGGAGTTTTATGGGCTCCACACATTTGTTCTCAAACTACCTGGAAGGAGCAGTGTTGGAAGCCGGTCGGGGTTTCTGGGATACATGAGGCTTAGCAGCAGGTTGCCGTCCTGCCCTGCCGACAGTGCTCGAGGGCCTGGGACCCGACAGGAGCGTGCATCAGGGAAACAGGTTTTAATTTGCCTTTGGGATAAAGTGCTTGTTTTAAAATATTTACAGAACTAAATGATAGGTCATCGTTTGCCTCACCGAGTTTTGAAAGTGTAAACTTTTTTTTACCGCGATGCGAGGATCCGCACAGACTGTTGTGCGGTCGCCCAGTTACGTTCCCGGGGCGGGTCTGGGAGCGGAAGAGATTTGTGTCACCATGTGGGCGGCTCCTCCAGGGCAGACAACCCGGCTACCAGGGGTGCTGGGTGTTCTGAGACTTTTTAAATGCAGAGCCCTGTGACATGGACCTTCTTCCCACGTGACGGAGCCCACAGTTTTTCTCCTGGTCTCATCCGTGTCTTCTGTCTTGATGGTGACACAGAGGCAGGGACCCTCCGCAGTGCGGCACGGGTTGCAGTGCCAGGACGCTGTCCGCCTGACTCCACACTTCACATCTAGCACTTTTCCTCTGTTATTCGAGATGATGCCTTACTGAACTTTATGAACAATTAATGATCTTAGAAATGTTATTCCATAAAGTGCAGAAAACTGAATACTCTTTCTGGGTACGAGTGACCATGTTCATTAACTGAACAGGTGGTTCTCCAGCTACAGCATCAGCATCTCGTGGGGGCCCGGTGGGGTTGTGAACAGACTGTCAGGCCTCACCCCACCCCTACGCTAGTGCCTTTCTAGCAAGTTCCCAGCAGGTGCTAGTGCTGCTGGTCCAGGACCATGGTTTTTTTTTTAAACTTTTTTTGATGTTTATCTTCAGAGTGATAGAGCAGGGGAGGGGCAGAGAGAGGGGGAGACACGGAATCTGAAGCAGGCTCAGGCTCTGAGCTGTCAGCACAGGGCCCCGACTCCGGGCCCGAATCCACGAACCGCGAGTTCATGACCTGAGCCGAAGTCAGACGCTTACCCAGCTGAGCCCCCCAGGCACCCCAGGACCACCTTTTGAGACTCACTGAACTGGGCATTCTTCCTGTGTTGCACACCCTGGTTTAAAACACCGAGTGTGAATGCAACTCCAGGAGGCTGGGGAGACCGGCTGGGAAGGCACAGTTGTTGTTACTTTCATCTTGTAAGGAAAGGGAATTTGAGGAAGAACGTTGAATGGCTTTCTTAGAGAATGCCAACCAGCAAAAACGTATGAACAAAGCGAGGGCTCATGGGGGGTGGAGGGGAGGGAGGAGGACACTTACTGGGATGAGCACCGGGTGCCGTATGTAAGGCAATTTGACAATACATTAAAAACATAAAATTTAGAAAAATATGCATAACAGGTGAAAAAGCCAATTTGCTGTTTAACAGAGTAATTAAATGTGGCAGAATATAACTTCCTTTTCATTTTCTTTGATTTTATCCTTTGTTTTTGGGTAGTTACGTAGAGAAAAACTTGTTCAGAAGTGTAGCAACCTGTGGGATACGTTGGGATGTTTTTGGTTTTTCTTTTTATCCTGGTTGGGGCATTTTGGGAGTGTGTTTTACTTGAGAATAAGTAAATTAAGGTCTGTGGTTTTGGTGTAGTTTATTCAATGAGAACTCGGTAAATACCTGTCGTTTGCTGGGCGCTGTGCTCACAGTTGACGCTGGGCACTCGTGTCGTGACCCAGGCCTTGGTCCACATTCCTAGTGCATTTTGTATGTGTCTGGTTGTGCTAATCCTTCGGATCTGTGCTTCAGTGTCACAGCTCTGCCCTCAACTCATAGGGTAAATAGTGTGCCCTGTGTCATAGGTGGTTCAAGTTCATAATTACAGTTCCTGTTGCAAACATTTAAAGAAGAATCCTTGAGGGGCGCCTCGGTGGCTCAGTTGGTTGAGCATCCAACTTCAGCTCAGGTCATGATCTCACGGTCTGTGAGTTCGAGCCCTGAGTCAGGCTCTGTGCTGACAACTCGGAGCCTGGAGCCTGCTTCAGATTCTGTGTCTCCCTCTCTCTCTGCCTCTCCCCTGCTCATTCTCTGCCTCTCTCTCTGTCAAAAATAAATAAAGTTTAAAAAAAAAAAAAAAAAAGAAAAGAACCCTTGATATTGGTTATTTTAACTTGAAAAGCTAAGGGGACTTTCTGTTTGAGGGCATCCCTGGTAGTGGTAAGCAATTGTGGTAACTTTATCCATAGTTTAAGTTTGGGTTTTAGGTTATTTTGCAGGATACTGCATCAAGTATTTTAAAGGTATCAAATGGGGGAAAAAAGTAAACATTGAAATCACTGTATTTCCTTAAATGTAAAGCATGAAATTTCTCTTAAATTTTGATTTAAAAAAAATTTGCTTTTGAGAGAGAGTGCGAGCATGAGCCTGGGGTGGGGGGGGTGCGGGGGCAGAGGGAGACACAGAATCCAAAGCAGGCTCCAGGCTCTGAGCTGTCAGCACGGAGCCCAATGTGGGGCTTGAACTCACGAACTGTGAGATCATGACCTGAACTGAAGTTGGATGCTTACCCGACTGAGCCACCCAGGTGCCCTAAATTTTGGTTTCTAAGCTTCGGAGTTTATTTTACTAGTAAAAAATTGGTTTTCCTTTTAATATAGAAAAAAATATAAAATACACGAACGTATATATGTATCTGATCTCAACAGTGAGCTTCGATTGTCTTTCTTTTACATGGTCATTCCGGGTGAGTGTTGAGATTTGGAGGAATCCCCAGGCTCCCTTCTTTAAAAAATTTTTTCAATGTTTATTTTTAAGAGATAGAGCACGAGTGGGGAGAGGCAGAGAGAGAGAACAACACAATCCGAAGCAGGCTCCAGGCTCCGAGCGGTCAGCACAGAGCCTGACGCAGGGCTCGAACCCACAACCCACGAGGTCATGACCTGAGCCGAAGTCGCATGCTTAACCGACTGAGCCACCCCCCCACCCCCGGCTCCCTTCTTAAATCAAACCTGACACAAAGGCTTGTGCCGAGTCTGAGGGTGGCGCTGGCCAAGGCTCTCAGCTCCTATACGTGCCAGGCTTCACAATGTGACGACGTAATGACACTTGGAATTTACACACACTACCTGAAGACAGATACTTTGCAGAGAAAGTGCTTTTTTTCCTGTGGGGCTCTAAATACAGTTAGAGCTGGGGCGTCCGTGCTAAGAATTGGGCGGACATCCCCATCCGAGCGAGATCTAGGCTCCCTCTCCATCAGGGATGGTGCCAGGGACTCCCCCATGGTGTCCCCCATGGTGACCGGGGCCTTTGAGGGGTGTCTTTGCCATGTGTCCTGCTCCCGGTTAACTGATGTGCCGATGGTTTGTCCTTTGCATGTCTACCGCCCGGTTGCAGCATGAAGCGTGCCAGTTCTCTGAGTGTCCTTAACGTGGGTGGCAAGGCAGCCGAAGACCGTGGTTTCCAAGTAAGGAGCCCTGCCCCACTTAATGCCCTTGACCGCTCAGGCCTACTTCGCCGGGCGGCTGCTGTTTGAGCAGCCGTGGGGACGTTTCAGTATTTCTGAGTCTTAGATAAAGAGGCGTTGTAACGATATTTCTGTATTCTGCATTAATTTGAGGAGGTGAATTATGGGAATGTTCACATTGTGAACGTTCTCAGTATATTAATTACCAATCTTTAAGTTTGATTAGCCTAAGTAAAATTTAAATATTCTGATAAAGTAATATCAGAATTTGGCCACTTAATTTTTGTTACTAATTTGTATGATTTTAGCCTGGGGTAAGTTTGTAAGTAATTGTCTAGTTACACTGTTGTTTAGCATCTTACAACTTTTCAGAACTTTACAAATGTAAGTGACGTAATGTCACTTTTACACTCAATCTTTAGCGCTTTTTTTTTTTTTAGCTGTGTGAGGCTTGCACGAACCCGTCACATTTAAAACTGTTGGCACCTTGTCTGTCAGAAATGGCCTTTTTGCTGCTGTTAAGCGTCCAGTGTGGCTGTCGGGGTGCGGCCCCGTGTGCCAGGCAGACCAGCAGCTGAGCTTGTGGGGAAAGAGAACCTTCTCAGCCAGACCTGCCCGTCATCACACCCATTAGCAGCTCCCCAGGTGCCCCAGCCCAGCTGCTAGACTCCTGGACGCTCACCGACAGGAACAGGCCTTCCTCCCCAGCCTGCACCCGTGGGGGCGGCTGTTTGCAGGGGCCTCTCAGCAGACCTTTGGTGAGAAGGTGCGAGACGCCAGTGGTGTCTGGGCATATTTTGAGCGTGCCTGGTAATGAGAATAAAAGAGGTGTCGTCTCCAAAGGTCTGGGGCAGCCAGGTCCCCTCACCCATGTCTCTCGGTGTTGGCACCTGTGTATGTGAGCGTCAGGGCTCTCGGAGGTTGACTTAAGGGTTGTGCAGCCGTTGTTACAGCTCTGAGACCACTTGAAGCTGGCGTCATTTGACGCACGGGTCGCGTATAATTTTTCTGTTTGTTTTTTCACGCAGGAACGAAATGATTATCTGGCAGACTCGTGAGCTCCGAGTGCCAGCCACACTGACCTGGCCCAACTGAGGGTCGGGGCAGAGCTAGATAAAAATCCCCGAGACTTAACGGGGACACTGAGACCCTCAGAGCTTTGCCAAGCTCCTCTACTCTGCCTGGGACTCACCTCCCCAGTGACCTCTTTTCTAGGTGGTGACCTCTACCACCTCGTGGCGGTTTGCCCCGAATTCCGTTAAGCTGCCTGCAGTCCTAGCGAGCTAGAGCTGCTGGATGGAGCGTGAGACTGGCCAGGCGTGGCGCCGGCAGCCTCAGCGTGTTTGGGACCGGCCGCTGTTCACGGACACTTGTACTTTCTGCCGCTACGCCAAGATCTGTTTGCAGTTTTAGTATTGTATTAAGGCTATAAATGAAGACTCCGGAACCTTAAACTGCATCTTTCTAGAATGAGCATCTGATGGTCTGGGGCCATGCTGCCTGGAATTAAGAGGACAGTTGGTGCTCAGAGCTGGGAGAGACAGGTGACCCTCTGGTGGGGGTGGGTCTCTGCCGAGTCCCCAGTCCTGCCGTGTGCACCCCCCCCCCACCCCCACCCCACCGCTGGACGCGCATGGGTCCCCACCCCTCTGGGGCCCAGCTCCCCTCTCCTGGGCCCTGTACACTCAGCATGTAGGCATGCAGGCTTAAAAAAAGATTTTCTTTGTAGGGTTAGAACGGTTCCCAATCAACCCTAAGGGAATCTGCCAGACTAACTGGCCGGTGAAGAATACTGCACAAATACTGTTTGTAATTCCGGATGACAGCAGCTGTAGGAAGGGGCGCGTCCAGGCCACCGAGCTGGAGTAGGACGACTCATCACTTAGCTCTGAAGGGGATCTGAAGAACTTGGGGTACCCTGGGAGATGCTGCACGTTTGGACTTTCTTTTAATGTCATGTTACCGGAGGGGTCACAGCAAGGGCACTTACTGCCCCCCCCCCCCCCGCCCCCTGCTCCGAAATTGCACCGTGCTGGGGTCCGTGCTCCCCGGGGGCCCTCCGGCGGGGCTCACAGGGCACCTCGGCACTCGCTGTACAGACTCCCTGCTGCACGTGTCCTTCAGGCCAGGCGTGGATTTGGAGCTGCGGGCCGGAGGCGGCAGCATGCCGGGGTCTGGGGGCTTTGTTGACGGGTGTCCTGTGATGATACCAGAGCACGTGGCCTAGACCACCTGTTTGGGACACTGCTCGCTCCCACCCGGAGGCCAGTGTGCGGTGCCTGGGCCCGGTCTTCTGTGGCCGCGCCTCCTTCCTCAGCGTCTGGCCGGCTGGGCTTTGCAGCCTCCGGCTCTGCAACCGTTGTCCACTCTGCGGGCTGCGAGAGACCGCCGCCGACAGAGTGGGCTGTGTGTCCACGCGGGCACTGTGCACTTTGAAGTTCCCCTTTGAGGGGCCGGGGAGCATGGTGTCACCTGTGGAGCGGGACAAGGGCTGTCCCGTCTCCCCTGTCCCCTCCATCGGAAGTGCTCTTTCAGCCACGACGCTGATCCGATCCATTGGAAACCTACCCCCTTTCCCTTAGTGACACGTCTCCCTGGGAAACCAGGACATTCAGGAAGGATACACGTGGGGCCAGGGGCAGGATTTAAGCTCCCATGTGGGGGAAACGGGGCCCCGCCTGTGAGCCCGCCAGCCCCCTTCTCTGAAGGCCAGCTTGCCTTTGTGGGGCTGTGAGGAGCCACACAGCCTCCTTACACCGCGTCGTAAGAAACCGTCATGTTTCAGAGGGGACGCTGCCTGGAAATGTGTAATTTCTGATTTTTGAGCTTGTATCAAAACAAGTGAGCCTGGTTGTCCTCTGCTCATTTGTCTGGCCGTCTGGATTTTAATGTTCTCGAGGAGGAGAAGCAGTGGGGGCGGCCGGCCCTCCTCTTCAGTGTTTTCCTCTCCCGGCGAGGGGGCCTCGGGCCGTCGAGTTAGAGGTCCCTGGCCAGAGGACAGGCAGGAAGTGACGTGAGCCGGCTCTGTGGGTCTGAGGGGGAGGTTGTGGGAGGGCTGGGCCGTCCGCCCTCGGCTCTCCCCAGGGTCTCTGTGTTTACAGTACTGGAGGCAGTCAGGTAGTTCTTTCCCAGAATTCGAAGAGATTCTGGTCATGTTTGGTCAGAAAGCCGCTAGGAATATCACGTGATGAGAAATTCAGTGTTTACAGCAATCTATAAATATTGCTAAAAATAGTTTATAGACAGCTCTTTCATTGTCATAACTTCATAGAATATTCTTGGGAAGCAGGTGCATCCATGAGGCTATACTCTGGTATGTTTGCACTTGCTGTTGAGCAGTGCACTGCATGACCATCAGACTTCTGAAAACTGCCAAGTGCTACTTGATAACACCGATCGAAGGAGAGGCTCCAGTCAGCTGCGGGCGTCTCGTCAGGGCTCCCAAGCGTCATACGGGTGGCTGGGGCGGTCATGAATACGTGTCATTTTGCATTTGTCCCATTATTATGGGGGGAACTGACGGGGCTTCTACAGTGTTGTGGACGTAACCATGGGAACCACCAGCCCGGGAGGACTGCCTGACAAGCACTGGGGGTGGGGGGTGGGGGGTGTGGGCAGGGAACTCCTTAGGGGGTCCAGGGCGGTCTGTCACTGAGACAAAAGTCCTGCTGCAGCCCTGTCCCTCGCCTGTGGTGGGCAGGCACCGTGCACCGGCACCCTGCACCCTTCATGCTCCGGTGGGCCTGCAGCTTCTGGGGAGGGGCTCGTTAGCACATTCGGTCTTGGGGCTGTGGTTTGCTCATTGTTGGTGTGATTTGCCTAGAAAATCATCCGGAATTGTTTGTATTTAATTACGATAATAAAATGGTTTATTTCCTTTTGCAAAGTCCCTGCACTTGCAGAAAGGCTCTTTTATAAAATTCCAACCCTAAAAGAACGGTTTCCTACTTAACACCAGCCATTCTCAACCTTCTGAGAGTCCCAGACTACTTAAAAATGGGATGGAAATTAGAAGTGAATTTTTCTGCTCTAGAAAATGTCAAAACAGTGCGAGTCTGCCCAGTTATGGGGACCTCTGCCTCCACCCTAGTACTGGGTCAGGTTATGTCCCTGCCCTCCTGGTACCAGCCTGGGGATCAGCGTCTGGCTCGTGGAGTTGCGGGAGGTTGGCCAAGTCACTTCACTGTTCTGTGCCTCAGTTTCCCTGAGACCAAGGACGGTAACTGTGCCCATCCCCAGGGGCCGCGAAGGAGACGCACTCCAACGTGGATGAATTACTTAGGACAGTGCCCGGCAGAGAACAGGCCATGGCGAAAGGGTCCAGGGCCCGCTGTTCCGGGGGGCAGTGGGGGCGTGGGGCGTGAAGGCAGACAGCCCTGCCCGGGGGGGAGGCCACGTCAGGCGGGTCATCCGTGCTTACTGCCTTCCCGCCGTTGAGAAGGGGCAGCCAACCCCTGGAGCAGACCTTGTCCCAGCGATGGGTGTCCCGGGTCAAGACATGAGTCCCCTGTGCCCGCAGAGTGTGGAGGGCTCGGCCAGACTCGGGGTTTCTTGGGACCTGGCCGGCCGTTCTGCAGCTGCCACGTCAACGGGCCTCGGTCCCGGGAGTCCCCCGTACCCCCTCCATGCTGACGGTGTAGGAACAGGATGAGGGGGGCAGGTGAGGGGCGAAGATCACCCGCAGGGTGCGGTCAGGGCGGCCGGGCGGGGGGAGGACGGCTTCCTCCTCGGGGCGGCGCCGGCTGACCATCAGCCGCATTAAGAGCTGATTGGACCAGGTCATTCCGAGGGCTGGAGAGACCCGCTCCTCCCAGAGACTGAGACAGAAAACAGGCCCAACGGTTACCGACAAAACCTTGGGGGACCCACTGCCACCCTCATTGTCCTGCCCGTGGGCTGGGCCCGGCTCACCCTTGTGGCCCGGGTGCCGCACCCCGCTCCTCCACGGCCTCCGTCACCTGGGAGATCCAGACCAGGGTCAGTTGCAGCAAGGACCCCACCGCCACCTGCCCCAGCATGAGTGGCCTCACTCCTCCACCCCCACCCCTCTGAACTTCCCTAAAATCCAAGCTGGGTGGGGGGGGTGGGGGGGGAGGGGAGGGAGGGTGTTGGGGTTGGGCCCACCTGGTTGATGCATAGCACGGGGCTCCGGAACGTGCTGCTCAGCCGGCGCAGGGTGGCCCCCAAGGCCTGCAGACGCCTGGCCCTGGGCATTGAGGCCAGGCCGTCAAACTCACAGCGGAACGGGGCCGCCACGGAGTCGATGACCACTAGTCGGGCCATCCCCCGTGACAGCAGCACGGGCACCTTCTTACTCACACACTCCAGCAGGGCGTCCTAGAGGCCAAGGGAGCTGGCGGTCAGCGCCTGTGTCCTGCACTGAAGAGCCCCTCACAGCCTTCCCGTTTTACTCCTCACCCCGTGGGCCATCACGGTGACCGGGACTTCGTCCTTTGGTGGCCCCGTGCCAGGAGCTGACCCCTGGGGTGCTACCATAGCAGAAAGCCGGCTCATAACCGACCGCCCTGGTCGCTGGGACCATACTCTCGTCAGGCGGGTCTAGGGGTGGTGGTGAGCCCTGTCCCCTGCCCAGCCCTACCCCATGGCGGGGGGGGGGGGGGGGGGGGGGGGGGGGGGGGGGGGGAGGGGCAGGCCACCCCCGCCTACCTCTGGGGCCCGAGTGCGGTGCCCTGAGCGGCCCTGGCCAGGCTCCCGGGTGGGGCTGGACGGCCTCAGGCCCTGGTGCCGGGTGACCACACACTGGCCGTGCCGCCAGAGAGCAGCCAAGTGTCTGGTTCCTCGCCCTGAATGAAACCCAGTTCTGTGCTTCCACCTCTAGGGCGTCCTCGGTAGAGCCTCTTTTTGTGGAACATGAAGGCAGCAGCAGTGGTCTCGAGGACGCCAGCATTAACGTGAGTCCCGTCCCCTTTCCGTCACCGTAGGCAGCTCTGGGGACACCTAGGGGCTGGGCAGGTGGTGGCTGCACTCGCTCCCTGCGGAGCCAGGACTCAGGGGCCCCCTCCCCCAGGAGGTGGAAACGGGGACCGCAGCCCCGAGGCCCTGCTTGTGCACCAAGGGCAGGGCCCCAGGCTCCAGGCCGACACTGGGCAGGAGGGCAGACGCCTGGTGCCCCCAGCGCGGTTTTCAGAACGGCTCTCAGAAACCACCGTGGGCCTCAAAGCGCTGGCCCTGACTGCTGCCTTCTCTTGCAGTGAAACCACACCCGGCCCTGGAGGACCCAGGACAACACTGCTCGTGTGCAGCCAGAGCCTGCCCTGTGACAGCCAGGGGACGGTCACCGAGGCTGGAGGGCCCTGGAGCTGAGAGCCTGCAGCACTAACCTCGTCTTCTGTGTCCCCGTGCCACCAGCACACTGTCCTACTAACAGCCACACCGCTCACCAGGACGCGTCGCTTGCAAAGCCATGGCCACGCTCGGCCCCTCCTGGGTGACGGGGTGGGCGCAGCCTCCCCCCTGGGCCGCGGTTCCCGGGACACCCGTGTCCCGAAAGTGCAAGGAAGAGGCATTGGCTGCCTGGGCCCGTGTGCCCAATCTTACCGTGTCACTTCCCGAAGCTGTGTGTGATATGTTCTATTGTAAATTTTGTTAAAATTAAAAAGTTTATATGCCTTACCCTTTACTTGCAATTTTTATAGCAATTCTTAAGTGGGGGAAGGTCCCCCGGGAACCGGGGACCCTGCCCAGCGGGTGCGGGGGTGCACTCGGGAAGCTGGGCTGCAAGGAGCTGCTTCCCCCAGCCCCATGCAGAGGCTTTTTTTTTTTTTTTCCTGCTATACGGTTTATTCTCAGCTTTTGAACCCTTTCCACTCATTGCTTGCTTGTCCCTCCCTCAAATAATGATTGGAGTTGAGCACGGACCAGGTCACAGGGCCGCTTCCCCTGCCTGCCAGGACCACTGTGGTCCTAGCCCTCTCCCTGGGGCTTCCTGCCCCACGGCTGCCCATCTGCAGGGAGGGATGCTGCTGATGCTTCCGGATACGTGTCCCCCGCCCCCCTCTCGGAGCAGCCAGGTGGGGACCTCCTGTGCCCTGATGCACGTTCTGCTCCGTCAGGGGTAGAAGTCAAACCCGACAGACTGTTCTCGCCGGGACAGCCGGCCTGTCCTCTGGGCAGTGAATGGTCACCGCAGGGTGGCCGGGTGGCCAGGAGGCAAGGGAGGTGCTCTCTGCTACTGAGGGGACTGAGGAGCACACCCCGTGGGGGACGGGACGGTGGACGGTGGGTGGCGTGTGGGGCCTCCCTCCGCAACTCCCCGTGGGCGGGGCGACCGGTTCAGCCTGAATTTCAGGTCACGAATCCTGTGGCGGCTCACCGGCTGCCTGGTGCTGGTGGTGGCCCGGTGTGGGTGTCGTGTGTGCGGCTCTGTCCGCTGGCCCACCTGACCACCTTCCCCACAGAACTCAGGGCCAGAGAGGGAGGACGCTCACCACGTCGGCCACGTGCTCGATGAAGATCTGGTGGCCAAACTTCATCTTGTCGATCACCTCTCCCGGAACGTCCGTCCGCAGGTGCCGCTGCCCCGCAATGAGCTGCTGCAGACGCAGGTCCGGGAAGACGTCTTCGGTGCAGACGTACACAGCCCCTGGGGCGGCACGGGCGGGGGGGGGGGGGGGGGTCAGCCCGCCCCCCTGTGGCTTCCCCGCACGGGGGGCTGGTTTCCCTTGCCGCCCCCTTGCTGTCAGGATGCCACCCCGCGGGTCTGCCCCCAGCCTGTCTCGAGCGGAAGCCAGTGGGATCATCAGGGCCCGCGGGCTTCCGGAAATGCCCTGCCTGCACACGCCCTTGGATTCCCCTCAGAGGCTCTGCCGGAGCATGCTTTCCAGATTCCCAGATTCTCCTTTCGAGGCTGCTCCTGTGATCCTGGGCTGCTGTGACCTGAACACCCTGGGGTGACGCCCTGGCTCCCCTGTGCCAGTGTACCCCAGGTCCGCTGGGAAGAACTGGGGACCGTCACAAACGAACCCTAACGTCTGTGGCAACTGATTTTCAACGAAGGTCCCGGGACAGTCCGGTGAGAGAAAGAAGTCTTCCCCGTGAATGGTGCGGGGACGCGGGGACCAGGCCCTCCCCCACCCCCGGCACGGACTCCATCCGCCCATCGAACGCCAGAGCCGACGCTTTCAAACTCCGGAGAGCACGCGGGTGGGTGTTCAGGACTCTGGGTTGGGCGAGGGGGTCTCCGATGTGGCACAGACCGTACAAGTGAGAAAAGGCAGAGAGAGAAACTGGACTCGATCACAGGATAATCCACAAGAAAACGAGGAGACCCCTGCAGAAAACACGGTGAATTCCGTGTCTGGGGAGAGGCTCGCGTCCAGATCACACGAGGATCCTACAAGCCGGCCACAGAAGGCGACCCAACCGCGAACCGGGGCAAAGGCTCCAAAGGGACATTTCGCCACAGGAAACGTCCGCTGACCGGCTTCCAAGGCCAAGTCCGTCCACCCGGCACCGGGCACCTGCACCCTTGCCCAGAGGTGCAGGGGCGGGGGTGACACAGAGGCCCGCCGCGGGTGAGCAACCCCCATGCGCGGTCCAGAGGCCCCCGCCCACGGCCGGGCTCATGGGAGCGGCACCGACCCCAGTCCTCGGCTCTCGGGACACAGGGGAAGCAGGAGAGGTCCCCAAGTGAGGCCCCTGCTGCCAGCGCCCCGCATGGGTCCCAGCGGCGTGCGTGTGTCACCGGGCCGCGAGGTCTGGCCCCGGCCGCGTGCCCCGCCCACCGCGTGGACCAGCCCGTCCGGGAAGCCGGGTGAGCAGATGAGCTCGGGAGGAACCGTGCAACGTTTACCGAGGAGCTACCGAGGTGCGACCTGTCTGCTCTGGCACCACATTTAGTAAGAACGATTGAAGTTTTTAACGCTCAGAGACCCGCACGGGCAGCCTGGAAAACTCCCTCCACCGCACGCCCTGTGCAGACTTGACAGACGCAAAACCGCCTCAGGGGCCGGCCGCCCCCGCTGTCCTCGGTGGTCCTGTCTGCCCCGTCCCCAAAAGGGAAAAAGAGGAAAATGTTTGCCCGAGGTTTCCAGCCCCGTGGACCACGTGGTTTGCAGGCTGGCGGCGGGAGAGCGCGCAGAAGTGCCTAAGGGGGACTTTGTGCCCAGACGGAGACTGTCCCCGGGTCCTCGAGGGAGCAGGGGCCACTTCCTACGGAGGGCAGGCTACAGGGTCCACGGCCCTCAGACCTGCCCTCTCCCTCGGGTGGAATCCACGGCGCATGCGGAGAGAGACGGGGACCCGGGAAGATGGCCCTGGAGGTGGCGTCGGGCCTCGACTCGATGAGTGCGACCTGGGCACGGCCGGGACCCCCGCCTCCCCCAACTCTGCCCCCGCCCCCCTGAGGGGACAGCCACTCACCGGCCTCCAGGCCTCCGTGCTGCGGAGGGAACTGCACGGTCAGGCAGAGCTGCAGGGCCAGCTGGGTCTTCCCGGCGGAGCTGTGACCGGCCAGCTCGGTGACACCGTCCAGGGGCAGGCCGCCGCGGAGAAGGCCGTCCAGCACGGGGCAGCCCAGGCTCAGGCGCTGGTGCTGGGCGGGGAACCTCTTCTTCTGCCGGTACAGATGCAGAGCTGGGGGCGCAGGGGGCGTCGGTCACCACGTGCCGGGGGCCCAGGCGACCTCGGAGCCAGAAGGCAGGGAGGAGGCGGGCGTGGAAGCTTCTCCTAGCTGCTGTGCTCTCTGGGCACCCGTGGGCTCTGGGTCTGCTTGCCGACCCACCCCCGCTTCCCGCACTGCCTGGCCTGGTCCCATTTCTTCCGTCCCCCTGCCCTTGCCCTGTACACCTGCCGTGTCCCTGTCCTGATGCTGTGACCGTGGCCCTGCGTCAATCCCTCCCCAGGCATGGGCAGAGCAGAGGCCTCTCCTCACCCCCCACCCGCCCCCAGTGCCCACCTGTGAAGACGCTGCTTCCCCGCAGGTGCAGGGAGGCCGTTCTCAGCAAGTGTTGCACGTCGAGGCTGGAGAGGCCGGTTAGTCTCTGCAGGTCTGGTCCAGAAAAATGCAAAACCTCCTTTATTGACTTCAGTTTGGCTGAAATTACACAAAGACAGAACAGGACAAGTTCAGACTACAGTAACGCAAGGCAGCATGGCAAAGACAACGGGTGTTTTCCGGAACACGGTCTTCCAGTTCTGGGGACCCAGCGGGCAGGGGCTAGATCCGTCCACTCCCTGAAGCCATGGGAGCCCCTGGACAGAGTGTGAGGACAGCAGTGGGGAGGGAAGGGGCCCGAGAGGGGGACGGGCCTCTCCCAGGTGCCCAGAGCACATCAGCCACCTGCCGTGGCCACATCCTGAAAACGTGTCCCAAGGAAGGGCGTTTCTGTGGCCAGGCAGGCCGACACCAAGGCAAGGCTTGAGGGTGACCCCGGGGCAGGGTGAGAACCGTGCAGTTAGGAAAGCCAAGCCAGGCTCCAAACAAACGTCACTGCAGCGGAAAGCCGGGGAAGGTGGGGACCGAGCTAAGACTGCGTGGCGGTTACAATGCCAGTGGCAACAGCCGGGTGGGAGGGCGGGTCACAGAGTTAACATATCCAGAAGATCTGGTATTTGGGGAGGAGAGCGGATAAATTACTATTGGGCGTGGATAAGTACATTACTTGCGAGCTAGTAGGAAAAAAAATGCGCTAAAAAATGTTTCCAACCAACCCAGATGGCAAAAAAGGGAGAACAACACAAAAAGCAACAGAATAGGTAGCTCAGCAAAAGAGAGAGTTAGACCCAAACATACCAGGAATTACCTTAAATACATGTGCACTGAAGGCTCCAGTGAAAAGACAGATGGACAGACTGGACCAAAGGGAAAACACAACAAAATGACTGAAAGGCTCTGGAAGAACCAAGAGCCAAGGACGAAGGAGCAGGACCAGAGACTGTTCCCCCACGTAAGACATCACCAAGTCGCCCCCACGTGTACTCCGGCTTCCACGCTTTGTGATCAACAAGCTTCCCTGTCACATGCCCCGGGAGACGGGGGAGATGGGAGGCCCAGCACGCCAGCTGGTGCAGGGCAGCTGGGGAAGGACGCACCGGGAGACAAACACAGCGGGGAAGCCGTCCAGCTCACCCGTTTGGGCACCTAAAACAGAGGCACCCGTAGCTGACATACTGGACGATGCGGGAAAAGACAACGAGACGTACACGGAAAACACAGAATTTGAAAAAAGGAGGCAACTACCAACTTTGAGGGGAAGTAATAAGAAAGGAAACCGTCAAAACCTCGCAGTTCAGCAGCAGTAATGATGTCCCCGGTCACAGCCCTCACGGCGCAAACTGTGCTCCAACTGTGGTGGGGGAGGGGGAAGTAGGTGCACCAGGAAGCCAGCCCTCACCCCTGTCACAGGCGCTCCGTGCGTGATCGCAGACGCTGACAAACCGAACACGGCGACGTAAGCACGTTCTTAGAAGTCCAGATGTAAATACAAAGAAATTGCCAAAAGACTCCCGAGTGGCGGAAGTAGTTCCGTTTCACGTTTTAGAAAATAAACGTGTATTACTTTGATGAAAATAAAATTTAACTTGAAAAAAGTCCACACGCACACACACACCCCCCTGAAGACCCTGCAGCACATTCCAGCACTGGCTGCTCATCAGGAGTAGCTGCTTGGGGAAGGGGGACTCGGCAACCTCGCTGTGTCTCACGGACATGACACACAAGTCCACCCACACGCTTCACGTATCTACTCGACACAAACACCGGTAAACATACCTTTCTTGACCGCAGTAGTAATTCTGGGATTCAGGTCCAACTGATCCAAATCCATTTCTTCAACAGGTTGACTGCGACCACGGATAATCTCCCAGGGACACAAATGCCGATGCGCTTGTTGTCAGTGCAAACCCCCCAGGAGCAGAGCACCGCGGGGTGACAGTGGCTTGGGTACGCAGTCTCCTTTGTGACGGGTTCACCGTCAGCCCTGCCTGAGGTTGGAGGAAAGACTTCACTGCACCAGGAAAACCACTGAAGTAAGTCTAAGGCGACACCTTCAGAAACCAAGACTCGATCCGCACAGTGATGCGGCTGAAGGGATGTCCCCCGGCCACCCCCACTCTAAAGGCCAGGGCAGCGCAAGGCAGTCCCCGTTCCGTCCCCTGCAGAAAGTGTTAGAAATGAGCATGTGCTTCAACCCGGAGTCCCGGCCTGGAGACCTGGTACACGGGTGAGCACCCTGCCTGGCCCACCTCTGGGGTGAGGACGACGCAGACAGGGACCATGCTCATTGGGCTCACGCGAATGAAGCGTCTTCTGCATTCGGCAGAAGTGTGTCCCTGCGGGGATTTGGAAAGAATGGAAAAAGTGACTTTTGAATCCTGCGAGATGTTTTCAAGCGGGAACCTCCACGACCACCCAGCTGTTTCCGCGGAGAGCAGCGGAGACCGTGTGGCCGGCCTCGCCCCTCTCCTGGCCAGCAGCCCTCCCGAGGCCCAGACCGCGCACTGAGTGCCGTGGGGACTGGAGCCCAGCCCGACCCTCGCTGGTCGCCCTACTTAGCCCAGGGTCACCCAGACACTCTCTAGCAAGCCACGTTTCCATGTTGGCCTCCCAGATCAGCAAGGGTGAGGGGGCAGCGGGGCGTGTGGGAACACCAAGGCCGGCAGCCACTCAGGCTGAACCCAGGGCCCAGGTCCACCAGCAAGGCCTCAGCCGGGGGGAAGGTCGGAGGTCGCCTCCCCTTGCAGCGCTTAGAGTGTTACTCATTTGGACAACATCAGGTTGATTTTGGAGCTTCGAGAAGCAGGTCGCCTGCACGGTTACGTTCACAGGCTGGTCAGGGAAACCGGTGTGGCAGAGAGAAATCCAAAACACCCAGAACTGACAGCACAGGAGCCTGACGCTCAGGCGTGAGCAGGAGCTCCCAGGCCAGGGCTGACAGGAAACATGCCGAGGCCGGGGAGGACACACACAGCCCCGGCTCCCCCGCGGCCCCCCGACGGCCACCAGGACTGCAAATTGGAGGACAGCGGGGTCACCGTCAGAGGTGCCTGAACGCAGGGCCCCAGTGCCAGCCACACACAGCGAGAGGAGGTGAGGACGGTGACGGGCTCCGAAGGTGCCCTGAGCATATGGAAGGTTCTAGTGGGCTGGTGATGTGTGTGACGTTTGGTTCCTGAAGACAGAAAGCAGGTAAGCAAGAAAAAGATCATCTCCAGGACAAGTAGTAAGTTGCCAAAGGACACACGGTGTGCCTTCCTGGCTTGGTGGGGAGAGCACCTCTGGGAGCCCTGAGGACAAGAGCGGGAAGAGGTGACCCGGGGAGGCACCACCCAAAACCTCCTCCAGGACAAGAGAATGCCGGGACAAGATACCAAGTCTGTTGTTTCCAAATTCCAGAGACGGTGCGTGTCCCCCCCCACCCCCAGACTGTGGAAAGGCCCTGGGGCGTGCCTGGGGGAGGGAAGGCCTTGATGTGACACACGCGGCCAACAGGCTGGACTGGGGTCTGGACTGTGAAGATGAATGGCCAGGAGAGGGACGTGCCTGGATACTAAACTCAGATTCTGACCAGCCACTAGACACAGGGCAGGATATCAAGGCAGGTGACCACAGCGCCTCGAGCCTATGTGGTGGGGGAACGGGGCGTCCGGAAGCAGAGTGACCACTGGTGGAGCACCTGCGTAAACCAGACACTGACCGGGAGCTGGACAGACAGGCCCAGGTGGGTGCCCTGTCCCCCCACCTCCCTAGGGGCAGGGGCGTGAGCCAGCCATCCTCCAGGCCCGCGCTCCTCCAGCAAGGGAGAGGCCTGGGCACGGAGCACGCCCACAGCGGGCCCGGACACATGAAGCAGCTTCCCGGAGCATTAACGTTAAGTTCCTGTTTAAGGGGACAGTTAACATACCATGCCACTGGGCAAGGGGGTCAGAGCTGTAGGAGAGAACCCAAAGTTTGTGGGAACCAGTAGAATCGAATATGACTTTCAAGCAACTCAGGTCCCGCCAGAGGGAAGCCCTGAGCCTTCCCAGGGGGAATCACACTCTCCTGCTTCAGGGCCCCTTGGGCAGAGGCCTGAGGACCCCGACTGCCAACCACACCCCACCCCTGCCCCTCCCAGGGATGGAAAGTTCCAGCTACAGACAGACTGGCCCACCGGCCCACCTGCACTCCGGGCAGCAAGACTCAGGTTTCCAGTAGCTTTGGCGGACTTACAAAAGAGGGCAGGGCACGGCGCCCCCACAGAGAGGGCTGCCCAAATCTCCCACAGAACAGAACCAAAGCCCGTGTCTCTCGCAAGTTCAAAGCTGAATACAGGCGGCCCCACTGATGCCCAAACTCACCGGAGGAGTGCAGGCAGTTATCAGACACACAGTCCGTTCCCAGGACTGTTCCAGGCACCTCGCACAACACGAACTCAAGCGTCGCAACAGCAGTGTTCCCACCTCGGTGTGGCTGACTAGGAAACGGACAAGCCAAGGTCATACAGTCAGCAAGGGGGATGCAGGTCCCGGCTGTTTGTTCCAAGTTCTTGACCCGCCTGTTAGCAAATCCCACAGGAGCTGCTCAGTCTCCCCGCCCTCCTGCCTGCGGGGTGCCTCCCCGGGTGGGAGCAGCCGGCTCTGGCTCCAGACTGGGCATCTTTTCTGGCTTCCCCTCCCTGGAGGGGGTGATGAGCCCTCCCGGCAGGGAACGCCCCCCGGTGACTTGGGGGCCGTGCCTGGGCACCACGGTGGTTTCTCCAGAGCAGCCTGGCCTGGACACTTGGGCCCTCGTCCCTTCTCAAAACCCTCTTCCTCCTTTGAGAGCCCCTTCCCTTCCCAGCCCCTGAACCATCTTGTCCCGTTCCCCCCAGCGGCTCCTCCACACCGGGGGTCCCGCAGACCCACCATGACCCCGCCGTCCCCCACCTCTGCACACCCCGACTTCATGCAGCCCTCGCTCACCTTTTCACCCAGCGCGGCGGCCTGCTCCGGTCCCTACGGGTGACAGCCCCGAGGGCGGGCCTCTGCGGCCCCCGCACCCCAGCTTCCGAGCCCACCTTCCTTCCCACCGCCAGGACCCCGGCTTCGGCTGTCCCTTCCGCCCGCCCGCGGGCTTCGACGGTGCGGACGACCCTCGCCCCCGCGCCGCGCGCCCCACAGCCAGCCACTCTCACCCCGCGCGCCCTCCGCTCGCCTCTTCGCACTGCCCCGCCCCCTACAACCTCCTCTTCCAATGAGAGCCGGGCGCCCCTGCTTGGATTTGCCAATGAGAGAGGAAGCAGCATATGACGCAGACAAACTAGCCAATCCAAAGTCTCCATCCTCCCGAGGGGGGCGGGGTGTGCCTGGGCGGGCCTTCCCTGCCGATTGGTGTCGGGCCGCGGAGTGGCCGGGGAGGTGCCACTGCGTGGATTGAACAGCTCAGCGTTGGGGCGGGTCCCGGGTACCGATTGGCCCGCTCTCCCGGACGGGCGTAGCGATTGGACGCGGCCGTTGTCATCCACGCGGGCGGGGCGGGGCTCCTGACGGGGCGAGGGCCCGGGCCTGGGGCGAGCGCTGTGGCGGCGTCATGTCCTCCGAGGTGGCCGCGCGCCGCGACGCCAAGAAGCTGGTGCGCTCCCCCAGCGGCCTGCGCATGGTGCCCGAGCACCGCGCCTTTGGCAGCCCCTTCGGCCTGGAGGAGCCGCAGTGGGTCCCGGATAAGGAGGTAGGTCGCCACCGCCCGCCGGCTTCCCGCCCCCCGTCCGCGCCCTGTTCGCCCGAGACCCCCGTCCGCGCCCAGGATCCCCTTCCGAGGCTAAGGCTACCCGGTCCGCGCCCCAGGCCCGCCGTGCCTCCCTGGTGCCCCGACCCGGGCCCCCGAAGCGCTTCGTCTGGCTCCTGCTGCCCTTCCGGGGCCCCCCACGGCCGCCGTCGGTCCCCCGGGTTCCCGGTGACCGCGCTCCAGCCCTCCCGGGGCCTTGGGCACAGTGCCCTCTGCCTGGTTCCCTCTCGGGGCGTCCAGGCTCGCCCACTCCCCACTCAGGTGCGTCCCGCAAGGACCGCCCCTCCTGCTCTGTCCGGGTCTCGGCCCACCTGCGAGGTCACGTGGGAATTCCACTTCCATTGGATGAGCTGCTCAGCTGGGGCCCCTGAGACGCCGTCGCTGCCCCTGCCCCGTGGTGGGGGGTGGAGAGGCCCCCCTCCTCCTTAGAAGGCGGCGCGCTCCGGGTTGGGGGGGGGGGTGCCGCGCGGTGCGAGCGGCGGGCTGGCTTTGAGTGGGAGGTTGCAGGTGGACAGTAAGGAGGGCGTCCTGGCGGGCACCGCACCTGCTTGCAGGGGTGAGGGGTGGGGAGGCCCCGCGCTGTCCCTGTGGGCGGGGTGGGTGCGGCCCCTTCTGAAGGCCCTTGCGTGGCAGCCAGCGGGTTTGGACCCGATCCCATAAGCCAGCAGCTCTCAGCTCCGGGAGGCCACGGGGAGGAACTCCGTGCGTTCCTGTAGATCCGTCCGTCCTAAAGAAGTCAGCGCGCCGTGATGGTTGAGTCGCTTTAAGTGACAAGCGCCCCTGCGTCCTGAGACGCCTTCCTCCCCCAGAACCGTAGTTACGGGCTGCAGGCTGTCGGCACCGGAGTGAAATCAGGTGTCCGAGGCGAGGCAGGCCCGCCCGAGCTGGGGAGGGGCGGCGGGGCAGGGCGGCGGCGAGGAGAGGCCCAGCGGCCGCCGCCCCCGCCCTCCCCAGTGTCGCGTGCTCCCCGGGCCCTTCCCTTCCCTCCCCTGTTGCCCTGTTTGTGCTCTTTATTTTGCGCGCTTTTACCCTTGGTGCTGGTACTGTCTGAGCTGACAGCGCGTACCTTCCCCACTTGGGCTCCCCGGTTCGTGCTGTGGAAAGTCAGAGATCAAGGAATGTGTGTCTTTCTCCTGAATGTGTCCGCGTCACAGAGTTCCTTCCTGGGTTACTGGGGCTGACACGTGTTACTGTGGTTGGGGAAGTGGGAATCGCAGGGAGCGTCGTGGGGACGGGCGGGTGAAAGGTCGTGCACACGGAAGGGAACCGCGCACTCCCGCAGTGGGGAGGGAGGCCGTGAACCTCTGGCACTTAATCTGTGGCCAGATCGAGGGTGGTCGGGGAGTGCCCCGCCCGCCCCCTCCCCCCCAGGAGTCTGGAGAGACTCTGCCCGATTGACCCCCTGCGGAACTTTGCCCCACCGGACTCGGTGGGCGTCTGCAAGGAGTCCCAGAAGGGTGTCTGGACCCAGGCACGGTTCCCCTGCCCCCACTTCTGCACACTGGGGTAACAGCTATAGCTCCGTGTGCCCTCTTCCCGTGCCCAGGGGTGTTTCCTGGAAAAGTGCCTGTGTTTTCGGGCCTGAGTTGAACAGCAGGAAGCGAGCAGAGTTGGCCTGATCTATTTGAGTCTGTCTCTGTTGGGGGGGGGGGGGGCTCCTTTCCACCTAGAAAGAAAGGGTAGCAGGTGCCCCTCGGAGCCCCCCTGCCCCCTGCTTGTGGGAATTCTTACTCGTGACCTGAGGAGCCCTGGAGGCCTTCCAGGGAGCCTGGGGGAGGAGGGACTGGAGGGTGGACCGCCGTGAGCTTCGAAAAGGAAGTGGATTTGAAGCCTACTGGGGCCTGGTCCAAGAGGCCAGAGGTTAGCACAGCGAGTGTTCTGGAGGAAAAGAAACAGTCTGGGGTTCTGGAAGCTCCGGGGGAAGGGGGTGGGGCGGATCCCCTGCCACTAGCCTGGCCCCCAGCTGCCCCCTGCCTGTTCAGTGCGTGTGGGACACCAGGACCCTCGTGTGCAGGGGGGAGCCTCGGGTGTTGGGGATACCGGTAGTGAGAGGCAGGTGGGTCTGGGTGGTTTGGAGTGGGTGAAGGGAAGTAGGTAGAACGTGGCAGGAGGGTGACCCATAGACCCTCAGCCTCCACCCGCTTCCGGTTGTTTGCCAATTAGCGTTGCTGACCTATCTGTGGATGGTCCTTCGTGTCTCATCTCGGCCCCGCTTTCCATCGGGTCACTCTGAGGCCAGCCCGTTCCACGTCTGTTGTGTACTTACTAGGTGCCTGACCCTGCACCAGGATGGTCGCGTGGGCCTGCAGGGACGTCCCTTGAGAGTGTTGACAATTTGGGGTGTGTGTGTGTGTGTGTGTGCGCGTGCGTGCGTGTGCATGCGCGTGCGCCTGCCCTGAGCCAGCTATAGCTCCCAGCCTCCCAGCTGGCCTCCTGCCCCGGAAATAACACTTGCTGGTCCCCGAGGATGCACAGTCCGTGGCTCCCTAGTGGCTTCGGGGAGGAGGAAGCCTGGGGGTGGGCGCTCTGGGCACGAGGCCATGAGATACTGTTTTATCCGTAAAAGCCCTGTAGTTTTGCACCCCTCTTTCTTCCATCTTCCGCGCTGGGTATAACCAGCGATGCCAGCGGCTCGGGGCCGTCATTTTGACACGTGGATATCTGTGGTCACAGAAGTGGGAAGGAGAGCACGGGTGTCAGATCAAAACCAAATCCCAAGTTGGGAGAGACTGTTCTAGGCAGGGGGAGGAGCTGCTGCCGGAAGGAGACTCCGAACCCGGGAGATCTGCCGGTGTCTCCGGCCTGGCAAGGGCTTGCTCTGTGCGGGGAGGGACCCAGGACCCAACTGGATGAGAGCAGGTGGGAAGGGGAGGCGTCCACTCAGCGAGGGGGTGCGGATCGTGTGACCTGTGACCTGCGATCGGGGGTTGCGGCACCCCAGGTCAGCCTGTCGCATACGGGTTGAGGGTGGGATTTCATCCGTGGGCCTGAAGGAAGGAGAGAAGCTTGACTCAGGTTTGAGCAAGCGAGGTGAATGGGCATTTGTTCCGACCGACGAGTCTGGACAGACAGGGCAGCCGGTCGAGAATGGGGATTTGGGGTCCATGTGCAGCCTTGTCACAGGTGGTCGGGGGCAACTGTGAGTCATCGAGGTCACACGGCCAGGGGGTCCTCTGCAGACACTTGCCAGGCACAGGACAGGCGGGGGCTTTCACCCGCCTCGGGGACCGCGAGGCGGGGGGCACACCACCTAGCGCATGGGGGTGCTGGGCCCTGTGGCTGCGTAGAAGCCTCGGATGTTGGGGGGGGGGTGCCGGGCAGGCCCAGCACTTGCTCCCGGGGAGGGCTCGTGTCTGGGGCGCTGCGTCCGCCGCTGGCTCAGAGCCCCCAGTGATGGGGGTCTGGGTGGGGAGACACAGGCGGGCCCTGTCCCAAGAGGAACACATGTCTCCTGCGATGCCAGCTGTTTCGCATCCACTGTCACATTCGTCCCCTCCCCAGGACCTCCTGTGTCTCTTTGGAGCTGGTTTTTTAACAGTTTACTGGTTCCCTCACTCATGACGGAGTTAAATCTTTGAGATGAGTCATTTAATATTTTAGGAGTAATTCTCTTATTCTTTAGAAAGGATTATCTTTCAATAAAGATACATTAATACATATATTGGTTTTTCTTTATTCAAAAATATTTTTTTGTTTATTTTTTTTCGGAGCTGGTGGGAGGGGCAGGGGGAGGGAGACAGGATCTGAAGGATCTGCGCTGATCTGTGCTCGAACTCACACACTACAAGATCGGGACCTGAGCCGAAGGCAGCACTTAACCGTCTGAGCCACCCAGGCGTCCCCTGTGCATATATCGTGAAAACTTATTTTCCGGATTTGTTTGTGTCTGAGAAACCTAAGATAGGGAGTGTGGAGGGCCTGGCTCCAGCCAGCAGGGGGGCGCTGTGGGAGCGGGTGGGCCCCCAGGGAGGACGGGCAGGTGTCCCCAAGCTCTTTTGTTACAGTAGCTTTGTTTTTGACATTCCTTTAAACTCTCTAAATTCTGTTTTCCACCAAAGAAAATTGTTTTTGAGAGAGAGCGAGAGCGTGTGTGGGGAAGGGGCAGAGAGAGGGAGAAATTGTCCCAAGCAGGCTCCGCCCCCCGTGCAGGGCTCCGGCTCACGCACCCTTGATACGACTTGGGCCAAAGTCCAGAGTCCGACGCTCAGCCACCTGAGCCGTCCAGGCCCCCCTCTTCCAACTATTTAGACTTTGAGGGGAGACCCTCGGGGCCAGTGCTGGTCCTGCAGCTGCCCGGGGCACCTCTGGGGGCTCCTTGCGCGAGGGTCCGGTGGCAGACCGCTCTCTGCTCCCCGAGGCCCTTCTGTGACCCGGGCTCGGCCTCTTCTCGCGCTCCACCCCGCGCGCGTCCACCAGGAAGCTGACCTTGCGGCACCTGCCTCCCTCTCGTCTCAACGTCCACATCCGCGGGCGCGGGTCCCCCGTGGGCTCCCCCCTCCGAACCAGCACGGGGGCGGGGGGGGGTGTGTGCGGTGTGCGGAGCTGGAAAGTTCACGAGGAGCGCTCCCCGTGCCCCTGCCCCAGTCGCCCTCCTCCGTGGTGCCTCCTTGCCACCAGCTTCCCGCCCCGCTGTCAGCCAGGCCTGCCTGCGGGGTGAGCGTGGGCCCCCCCCCCCCCCCCCCCGGGCGCGCCCCCCCCCCCCCCCCCCCCCGGGGGGGGGGGGGGGGGGGGCCGGCCCCCCCCCCCCCAGAGGCTGGAGCCTCCCCCAGC